GTTCACATTATTTGATGTACTTGTTTAATGGTCCATTATTGCTACCTATTCCTGAATCCTGAAAAATGCTGTAAACTGGTGTTTTGGTATTATATCACAGAGATTTGACTACAGCTTTTTTAAACAACATCAAACAGCTTTTTCTATTAGTCTTTAAATGATACATGAGGTTTGTTGATGAATTTTCATAATATATTTGTGAAACTTTAAAGATTAGTTATATTTATATTTTAGTGTTTCTATACTAATGATATAAAACTATTTAATAATGTTATATTTGTTTTTAATCTTTGATTTATAATGAAACACCTCGAAGGACGACGAGCCAACTACGACATCGCCGTAAGTCGTTGAGGGGCGCGACACATGTAATAATGAGTGAAATTGTTTACCCTTAGTGACGTCAATGTTTGCCCTGTCGGACATATTGCGATCGTCGCCGGTAATTTCCTGGAGGCGACGCGTGTCCTCCGCCGCTGCCGTCGCCTTCCTCCACCTTGTACACCGTCAAATATTGCCTGAATCTTTGCACCGAAAGGGGGTGGATTGTCCGCCCCGCCCCAACTTTGCCCATTAAAAGCTTGAGGGGACAGAAAGACTCACCAAGCGGTAATATTAATGGGAGTGAGATAGTTTTATTAAACCGGTAAAGATCAATTGGATAGAGTAAAAATTAAACCTTCCTTTGTGTAATTTGGCATTTATTAATTTGTTATTAGATAAAAGCTAGATCATTTGTACACATACATAAAATAATATGCATAAAAATATTGTACTGCTTCTTTTTTCGCAAACTTTCTGGCTTTTACTAAAAAACACCCCTAAAACAATCACGGCGTTCTTCTTAATTAAAGAAAATTTACCAAACCCACTTCTTTTCTCTACGACCAGGTCTTCTGCCAGATTTACTACTTGGCATTTCGATACCTTCGCCAGTAAGGGGGTTTCTAGCTGATAAAGACGTTTGTTGATAGGTTCGTACTTCCTCAAATGGATTAGGTGTTGCAGCTGGGACTTCACCCGCTGTGTCTCTCGTAGGACTCATAATTGGTTCTTGTTGTTGATAATGAAGTTGATTAGGTAATGTTGCTCCTCCAACAGGACTCATAATAGGTTCCTGTGGTTGTTGATAATGAAGATGATTAGGAATTGTTCCTGCTCCAATAGGACTCATAATAGGTTCTAGCGGTTGTTGATGATAATGATGTTCTTGTGGGAGATCTAAATTTGAATAAGCCTGGCGTAACTCCGGTTCGGTTATCTCCTGATATTCTTCCGGAATCTTTTGTACATTTTCGTACGATGCGGTTTCAGAAAGTTTTGTCGGTATTTCAGTTGGACTGTTTGGTTCACTGTAAAGGGTTTCTGGTGGTATGTAATTATTTACATTATTATTTCCCATACAACCAAACGGGAAAACACTAGTATTCATTTCTCTATGCCTTCGAATCCGCCCCGACGGTGATCCTGCAATTGAATAAATTTGTTGGTTTACGCCGCCGGGGGCCATTTTTTCCAAGCAAAAGATGTCACTCGTATTTTTATGCATTTTGATGTTTACGTTTAAACAAATGCGATTATCACTCTAGATTATATGTCAAACTATTTAAAATGTCAAAGCAACAAAAAAATCTTGTAATAAATAAAACAAAAATTAAAACGTTTTGAATGTAGATCTTTTTCAAAAAAAAATCGACTGTACAATTGATACACATTGATCGTACCAATCAAAAGCAGAAAATATCTGTTGTGAAAAAATTGCAAAAAAGTAGTCTAGAGGAAAAAATGCCAGAAATAATATAGACAGATTTAAAATTAATGAACCTAACGCTAACCGAATAACTGGATACATAAAAGATATCATACGGAGAAATCAGCATATCATCACTTGAGAATTATTTTGAACTATGTCTAAAACATAATCTTACTTTGTGCAATTATATTGTACCAAGTACTAATGATAAAAGCGTGACATAAGACTTGGTACCACTAATCTTAATATGAATTTAGACATAGCCTGGAGTCACAACCATGAAAGAAAAACGATCTGCAAACTTTTAAATCCAAATTACTGCTTTGTAGACGTAACGGACTTGGTTCAAAAAATTCTTAGGTGACGATATGTCAACGGAAAGTAAAGTCCGCATATATAAAACCTATCTAAGACCTATACTTATGCTGCAGATATGAATAGAAAGAGAAAAAACAAAACAAATAAGATCGGTCAAAATATATTGTTGAGGAGCAGCACAGTACGAGATGATTCAGAGTCCAGAATATGATGAGGTCCTGGAATGAACAGAAATGAAAAGATAAGATTAATAGAATGTCTGCGAAAACGGAAGAATGAGAAATTTTGTTACCAATAGAATTGGAAATTTGGCCCTTGGAATAACATTGTCCAAGGGCAATTGCAAACAGTAAATGCTTGCATTAAAATCAATCTAGAGTAGCAATTTTTCTTTCTCACCACCATGGGCATCGATAGGCAGAATAGATAAATAATAAGATAATGAAACTCTTGTTTATATCCCTTATATCTAAGTATCAGCCTCTTCGCAAAGGTTTTGTGTAGAATAAAATTCGTCAGATTGTAGTTTAGTCATCAAATATTTTGGATTGGCGGAAATCAAAAATTTGACCCATACTACTAATTGCATAATTGCAAAACTATACGAATAGTGGAACCCTGTTTATTAACCATGCAGCAAAGACTAAAGGAATGTCATCGATTTTAATATATTTTATTCACTTTAAAAAAGTGGTTGTTCGAATATTCTTAAACACTGTGAACAACGCGGGATATCAAACACCTTCTACCGTTTAAGACCCCTAAATAGACATCACTTCCGCTGATAATCCTAGGGGCGGTTGCAAATTTAACGGAGCTTTGTCCTCTTTGACACCTGGCCAGCCCTCGCCGGGCGAAGCTGTTTTTATTACACCCTGTGTGACTTTTCAGGGGGTTTCTATAATAGTAATTTATCAGACGATGGCGCGCGGGGACATGACTTATATAGGAGCCGGTGTATTATGTGTGTTCCTCGACAAAGATTCAAATACAGGAGTTTACAAATGTTCTAAGGTTCCGAAGTCGCCGACCGTTCTTTTATTCAGCCAAAACGTTTTGTCACGGTCCATTGTAACAACGTCTAAACGAACAATGGTTAACAAATATTGGTACACGATTACATTCAATCAAATTGTAATAGTAGTGGAGGTTGAACTTACACACCCACACAATCATCACCTTTTACAATTAGAAAAAAATCGTCTTTCTATTATTAACTTTTTATATTTCAAAAGCTAACAAATCCCCCTTTTAATTCTGTTTGTTTGCAACACTATAAAGTAAGTTACGTGCACGTTTCAGTATTAAAGCCAAGTTAGCATGTATAGGTTGACGTAATAACAACAGATCCGGACCCGATTCGAATCGGGGCTATTTACATTCGCGACTGATTTGCAAATATTTGACCCTGTTGACTGTTACCTGGTTGCTTGCAGAACTAGCAGAGTTAGAACTGACAGAAACACGTGACCGACAGGTTAGCGTGGGTTCTAGGAATCCGTGGAACTGGAAAGGCGTTTGTGGCGGTCCGGGTTAAAACGAAGGGGGTTAAAAAGGACGCTGCGAATGGCCGGTCCCGGGTCTTTTATTGTCACGATTGCACCGCAAACATCAAATATGTACTTAATACACACATATGCGTGTCTGTCGGGGCCTTTATCATCGCGCGGCCCTTTTTTCTTTAACTCCGCAGCGCGTGACGGAATGTGGTCTTATCTTTTTCTAAACCAACCTATAAAAACCATTTATTGCAAATTTTTAAAACTCGATTATTCTTTTTTTGGGAAAATATTAAAAGGTAGAGATTTTTAATATAAACGCCGTATTTGCAAAATGAAATGAATATTTAATTTATAAATACATAATTAATTTTCGTCGACGGAGCCGTGCTTAAGTTTCCATTTAAAACTCTCGTACTCGCGAAAACTCGAAAAGGGTTGCGAGGAGCGAAGATGACGCAAAGCAAACAGAGAAGACGCTTCCTTAATTAATAAACTTCTGCTAATGAAAGAAATAATTAATTTCACCCCCCTCCTATCCACTACTTCTTGTTAAGGCACGGCTCGCACCATTTTCGTTTAAGACACCAAAGAAACTTTTCCTTTATGTATACAAATCCCGATAGTTTTCAACTGATAACAGATTCATTATTATCCTTAATTAAATCAAAAATCAGATTTATAATTTATTTTAAACATTAATGAACAATTTTACTCTTACAAAGTTAGGTTTTAACACCAAATGTTGAAAAATAGATTGTAAGATGTAACAAATTTTATCCATATTTTATGTTAAAAACCTTCATCTTTGGTCAATTGAGCAAAGCATACATATAGGTCCATATAGGTTATACTTTCTAATTATATTCCATTTTCAGAACACTCATACATTTTTATCTATAATCCATTCGCAAAACTTCTTCGAAATCTTGAGTACCGTTTTAAAATTAAATCAATATGATATGGCAGTGGTGTAGAAAATATGATTTGAGAGATGATATTGGGTGGATAACATCTAACAAGCCCATGTGGTTCCCCCGAAGTAATACCCTAAAGAGGTTTTTACTGGGTAGTAAATTGTTATTGCCAGATTGCGCCAAAAAAGGGATTCTTTATTAAATATATTTTGATTATAATTTGGTGTGTTATTTCTTCTTTTTTAAATTTATTGAATTGCAATAAAATTACCAAAGTAAACTTAAATGTAGGCAACCTAACTTACACCCTTTAACACCAGCTACAAATTATGGTAAAAACACAATCAGAAAAAGCACATTCATGAAGTAACTTTTATGAATACTAAATTTCTCTATTTAATAATTTTTTATACTTTATAGATACATAAATACATAAATGTCACAAAGATGTTGCAGTTTAGTACAAGATAAAAAACTGTACAAAAAAAAATTTGACGTAACGCATCAAAATTTGATTTTTACATCCAAATATAAGAAAATTTTATATAAATAATATCTCCAACATATCTACAAAATTACAACTCCAAGAAACACAAAAGAAATAGCAAAATTCCTTTTACAGATATCTACATTACCACTTCCCCAAATAATAACATCAAAATAACCTAACCTGTATTTTCTTAAAAAATATGTCAAATTACAAGAACAAAGTTCTATAAATGAAGACTCTACTTGTAAAAATATAAAAGGTCAGTCTTATTTTATTGATAATGAACCGTTTAATGAGGTTTAGTCACTTGGTAAAACGTTATTCAACAAACATTTCGACGAAAGTAATAGAAAAATTATCGAACCGTACCATACTACGAATATCTGGAAGTGAAGTTGACGATTATGTACAAGGTTTAATAACGAACGATATTAATCATTTAAAATATGGAGGATCTATGTATACGTTCTTTTTAAATACGAAAGGTCGCGTAATGTATGATGCGATCGTTTATAAATCGCATGAAAATGATACTTATTTAATTGAATGCGATTTGAACGAATCCGAAAAATTATTAAAACACCTAAAGATGTATAAGCTGAGAAAAAAGGTTGATGTCGTTAGTTTAAAAGATGAATTAGATGTATATGCCATGTATGATCCAACAAATATTGCTATTAAAAAAGAATCTGTTATAACAGATGGTTTAGAGGGGTTAATAGCTCCATGCGATGTTTTAGCAGAGAGTTTTCCTAAAGAATCAAAAACAATGACTGTGTTTAGAGATTTATATATTTATAGAGACCCCAGAATGTTTATGTTGGGCTCCAGAATAATTTGTCCTCAACATATTGATATAAACCAACAGATTACACAAATTCATCCCGTTTCTTTTTCCACTGAGAAAAATAATTATAAATGGTTTAGATATTTATTAGGAGTTGGGGAAGGCGTTGAGGATTTACCACCAGGAAATTGCTTTCCTTTAGAAGCAAATTGTGACTACTTACATGGAGTTAGTTTTCATAAAGGATGCTATATTGGGCAAGAACTTACAGCAAGAACTTATCATACTGGAATTGTTCGAAAAAGACTTATGCCTTTATATTTTACAAAAATACCAACCGAAGTTATTAATAACAGTTATGAAAATATCATAGTTGACAATGTAAATTTGGGAAAATTGCGAGGTATTGAGGGTAATGTTGGTTTGGCACTTTTAAGAATCTCAAAATGTTTGGAAATTGGAGATATTTCGATTGGGGATGGTCTTTGCTATACATCTAAACCAATTTGGTGGCCGGTTGAGCTTCCTAAAGAAAAATTGAGCGTACAAAAAAATGATTGATTGTTTAAATAAATTACTGTGCTTATTTTTTGTATGATACTAGTCATGATATATTTTTATTAAATAAAAATTGTTTTAAAAAAATAGTCTTTAAATTTCCTTTTCAGAATAATGGAAAACAAAGTTAAATTAGAAGATATCAAGGAAGAAGATGATTCTAAACTTTCAAATACTGATTTACCAGAAAAAGTTGAAAAACCTAAAGAAAGATTATATTTTCAATGTTCTTTGTGTTCCATGCGCGAAGAATGTGATTATTTTGGCATGAATCCACCATTTACGAATAAATACCTGTTAAAAGAGGATGTATACATCCTAGAAGATCCATTTGTACCCCCAAAAACTGGGCAATTTATAATTTTAGGTTCTGTTTGTGTTAAGTGTAAAAAGGGCGTTTGTAAAGATGGCGAATGTAGTTTATATTTTGATGGAACTTTTTGTATGAAGTGTGCCAAGGATTCTTTAAGTTCTTTTCCTAAACCTATTCAAGATAAAATTAATAAAATTGTAATGAAGTAGAAATAGTTTTTATTTATTAATAAAATTTTTTGACAAATTTATCAAACTATTTTAATTTTTCCAAAATTTCTTTTGTTTTCATTAAATCTTCTTCACTTTTGATAAAACATAACCTCACAAAATTCTCTCCTATATTCTTATTTAAATCGCTATAAAAAGCAGATGGAGGAATCCCCAAAATACCAACATTTTTACACAACCACTTCGTAAATTTATAATCTTTAAACTCATCTTCTTCTTGATCTAAATTAATTTTTCCCGCCAAATTTGACCAATCGGCTAAAATAAAGTATCCTCCATCAGGTATAGATGGAACCATTCCAATTTTTTGAAAAATATCCACCATAAAATCGCGTTTTTTCTTCAATTCATTTGACATTTTAGCAAAATAGCTTTCATTCGAATTGAGCTTTTCAAACTCTTTTTCTAAAACGATCGCTATTGCTTCTTGTATTGGCGTTGTGCAAGTATAAACGCAATTTTGATGTACTACTTGGGCGTTTCTTAAAACTTTTTGACCACCATAAATCCAACCAACCCGCCAGCCTGTAACACTAAATGTTTTTCCAGCCGAACCAATTGTTAAAGTACGTTCGAACATTCCAGGTAAAGTTGATATTCTTACGTGTTTTGATGGCTCATACACTAAAAACTCGTAAACTTCATCGGAAATACATAAAACGTTATATTTTATACATAAATTTGCAATCATTTCTAATTCGGAAAGCGTAAATACTTTTCCTAAAGGATTATGAGGTGTATTTAAAATAATTAATTTGGTCTTTTTATTAAATAATTTCTCTAATTCATCAGGATCTAAAACCCAATCATTCGAAGTAATCAAATTTTTATTTTTTTGATTTTTTAATCTCAAAGGAATGAATTTAGCAACGCCACCAGCAATTTTAATCATTGGTCCATATAAATCAAAATAAGGTTCAATAATAATCGCTTCGTCTCCCTCATCAATATGACCAGTAATCGCCGAATACAAAGCTTGTTGGGCTCCATTTGTAACTAAAAATTCAGTTTGACCGTTTAAATTTCTTTGTAACAATTTCGAATACAATTTAGTTAAAATCGAAATTAATCGTGGATGTCCATATCCTCGAGTGTATTGGTGAAGATTGGTGTTGGGACTGTTTGCTACTTCAAAAAGTGCTTTAGTAATTTCTTCGGGTGGGTGAAAATTTGGAAAACCCATTCCTAGATTTAGCGGCTTATAATCGATCGCTAAACGATTATATTCATCCCAAACACTTTTACCGAATCCACAAAATCTGTGCGGCAACGCGAACTTATCCATTTTCAGACGATGAAGTAAACACGCGATTTTGCAAAAAAATCTTGTTTAAACTGTTGTTAAAACTGAATGTAGCGCGATACTTTTTTTTGATAAGCTATCAGTAAATTTGATTACTTTTAATCATTGTAAACACCATTGTAAAGTTGCAAGTTGTTGTAATTAGGTTGTAAATTTGGTTTTTTTTTTGTAAATGTTTTATTGTAAACAAGAGAAATGATAAGCAGTTTTCTTATCACATTGGAATGTAGAAAACTGTAAAAAAGAAGGTTACTTTAATGTTGATGTTAATTATTTTTTTTATGTACTTCCATGATGTGTTTGTTCCTTCTTAATTATAACGCTGTCCTAACTTACATATTGTTTTTTGAAAAAAAATTAAATTCTGGTGTTACCTTTTAATTATTTTGCAAAGTTCGTAAACTGGTAAGACTTTCTTATGCTAACTGAACAGGATCAATAAGCCCATAAACATCTCATAAATATAAGCACCTTTTCCATCCACTGCTAATCATAAGCCACCTCAAGACATTTCCAGTCCTCTTTGTTCTGGGCAGTTGCAATCCAATTCTTCTAAGGTCGTCTGTCCATCGGGTCGGTAGTCTACCCGACTGCGTTTATTCACCCTCGGTCAGCATTTCTGAATTTTCTTCGTCCACCTACCATCTGGTAATCTAACCACATCTCCATTTTAGCTTTACGATACGCACAATGATAGCGTCTACGCCTATTCTGAATGAAAAAATCATTTAGACTCTACTTAACAGATCCCATAGAAGCAAAATCTATTATTATGTCTTTGAATAACACACATACGATGGGTTATAATGAAATTCCAATCTCTAAAAAGAGATTTTCTAAAAAAGTGCGTTGATGAAATTGCAGAACCCTTGAGCAGAGTCATAACTGCTCTTTCAATTCAGCAATATTTCCGATAAATCTGGAAAAAACCATAGTAAAACCGCTTTATAAGAAAGTAAATAAATCAGATCGGCCATTTGTACTAATTCCTAACATTGCAAAAGTTTTTGAGAAGCTTATCCTAAAAAGACTAAAAGATTACATTACCAAGAACCAAATACTTAAAAAGTCCCAAAACGGTTATACATATAAAAGGCAAATCTGTAACCAGAGCAATTTTCCAGCTATTAGAACGAATTCAAACTGAAATTAATAACAACGATCAGTTGTATAATTGGACCTAACTAAAGCATTTGACAATGTCCACCATGACATCTTATTGAAAAAGTTGGAAGCTATAGGGGATACGAGAACTTACACTTGGAGTGGTTCAGATCTTACTTGTCAGAAAAAGGACAGCGGGTGGTCTCGTATGATCAAACTGGTTCTAAACTTACTTCAGGCTGGACAAAGGTTCTGCGAGGCGTCCCACAAGGATCAATATTGAGACCTTTCCTTTTTATCCTATACATCAATGATCTTCCTGAAGTGATAGAGGATCTACTAATCCTTTTTGCTGATGACTCCACTGCAGTATTAACTACAAAAACTGAGAAAGAAACAGGGGCGGACCGTTGAATTTGGGGGCCCTGGGTTATACCACTGAATCTATTTGAAAAAATTTATAATAAGAAAGGAAAGGTATTGTAATATAATAATATAAAAGAAAAAATATATATTGCATTTTGAGTATTACATTCCTAAAATACGAGTAACAATTAACGAAACAAAAAAACAAAACTATATACAGGTGTCCCGAAACTCAACGTCAAGCGGGTACCGGACGAGAGGCAAACCCATATCTGTTCTGGTAAAAATAAGAAAAAAATTCCATGCCTCTTAGTGGTAATAAACATATTTTTTTTAAAAATTGTTCCCGTACATCATATCTTTAGGTACTTGGGTCAGAAATGTTCACAATTTAATAGTGATTTTTTAATAATATATTCCTTATGAACCATGCTACTATAGAAGCCACAAATCAAACAACAAAAGTCGTTAGTTTTGCAAAAAAAATATTAGTTTGAATGAATTAAGGTTGAAAGAATTTATGTCTATTAAGTTTGACACACGATTTCTAAAAAAAGGAATAACAACACCCTTGGCAAGTTATTTTGAAAGATGGTCTGTTTAGTCAAGATTTCAAAATGGTATAACACTTGCAATTTTTTCTTTTCCCAAAAAATATTGTTGCCTGTTTTTCTGCAAAAATCGCATTATTTAAAAAAATCTTACTTTCGTATGTTATTTGTATTTCCTCCAAAATAATTTTAGTTTGTTTCAAAAAAAAGATAACCAAAAAAAACATATTATATAAAATAACTATTACACATAATGGAACATTTAAAGATTAATTTTCTGCACTTTTGGGCGGCAAAGTCCTTTATTTGATNGATCTTCCTGAAGTGATAGAGGATCTACTAATCCTTTTTGCTGATGACTCCACTGCAGTATTAACTACAAAAACTGAGAAAGAAACAGGGGCGGACCGTTGTATTTGGGGGCCCTGGGCTATACCACTGAATGTATTTGAAAAAATTTATAATAAGAAAGAAAAGGTATTGCAATATAATAATATACAACAAAAAATATATATTGCATTTTGAGTATTACATTCCTGAAATGCAAGTAACAATTAACGAAACAAAAAACAAAACTATATACAGGTGTCCCGAAACTCAACGTCAAGCGGGTACCGGACGAGAGGCCAACCCATACCTGTTCTGGTAAAAATAAGAAAAAAATTCCATGTCTCTTAGTGGTAATAGACATATTTTTGAAAATGTTAAAAATTGTTCCCGTACATCATATCTTTAGGTACTTGGGTCAGAAATATTCACAATTTAATAGTGATTTTTTAATAATATATTCTTTATGAACCATGCTACTATGTTATTTGTATTTCCTCCAAAATAATTTTAGTTTGTTTCAAAAAAAAGATAACAAAAAAAACATATTATATAAAATAACTATTACACATAATGGAACATTTAAAGATTAATTGTTCTGCACTTTTGGGCGGCAAAGCCCTTTATTTGATCATCACATTTCAAATCTTGGTCAAATCACTATTTAATGCCATAATTGTTAAATAATTTAGTTGTTCATTTGACATGGTTGTTCTATATTTATTTTCTATAGATAAAGATACTTTTAAATCTGCTTTAAGTCTGCTTAAGATACTTTAAATCTTAAATCATTTAAATCTTTTACTGAATACTTTATACGTATTATCTCTTTTATTTAACTCCATGATCAACTTGTCTAAAGCTAAAACCATGCAATAAAATCTTTTCAGTCAGAAAATTTTAAAGTAATCTTCCTCTTATTTATATTACTGTAGTCTTTTTCTACATCTGCACCCAATTTTTTCTCTGCCCTTCATATTCTCTTAATCTTTCATCTGATTGCTCCCGTATGTGGTTAATAAATATTACTAATAGACTAATTAATTTCACACCTTCACATATGTCTAAGCCAGGGGTTTCTCAATGATTTGAATGTTTTCACTTTATATTGTTATAGGCTAGCTAGGTTCTAAGTTTATTATCATTTTTGTTTTATTAATATTGCTTTTTGCGTTGCTTGTTGTAATTCTATCAACATTAGGGACAAGTTTCGGATTTATTTTAAAAATAACACCACAAAATTTTACCTCAAATAACAACTACATTAATTTATTTATAAACTAAACTTAACTTACATATGAAAAAAAAAGAATACATTATATCTAATTAATTTTCCGAAAATTCTTCAACAATTTCAAGTTTATCGTCAAATTCCATATCTTCCTGTTTTATATCGACGTCAATGATATCTTCTTTAGGTTCAACTATGGTGATATCAGAACAATCATCATCTTTTCCTATCGATTGTTCCTCAATAACCATTTGGGTTGTTGCGGTGCTAGTATCACTGTAGTTTCCAAAACATTCCAAAGATAAATCCTCCTGTTTAATTTCGAATGTATTATTACATGACGTTAAGATATCGTTTTCTGTTTTTATTATGCTATCTTTTCCCGTAAAATTTAACGGATTTTCTGTGTTTGTTAGTGAAAGATTTGTGTCTAATGGGTCTTCATAGTCTGATTCGGAATCTTTCTGAAAATAAATGAAAATAAAAATAAGAATTTCTAGAATTAAGTCATGCATTAATCAGATATCAAACCATGCAGCAAAGTTATCCTCATTTTTTTTGTATTTATTACATATAAAGATTATATACATGCATTTTTATCTTGTTTTATGAAGAAATGTTTGGTGATTTTTATACTTACTTAAAACCTACTTTCTGTTCCAGACAGACTGGAAAAATTTATACTATACATGAGGAAACATCAGGATGATAAATTTAACCAATTGTTAAAATAAAACCGTTATTTTTTTTTAATTTCCCAAAATTAAATTATTAATAATTATTATTAATTAATTTTAAACCTACCCTAACCATACTGTAAGACCTTATTGGAGGAATATCCATATGTAATCTACAGGTTGCATCATCAAAAATTGCTTCAACAGGCGTTTTACATTCAATATCAGCCAACATTTTGCCACATTGACGGAATAAAACTTGATTTGGATCCTTAAAATACCAAAATAATAAAATTGAAATTTTTGAAGATTATATTTTACCTCCAAAATGTGTTTTCGACAATGTCGAGTCATAGGTAAAGCTTTTTCTCCACATTTTACTCCACCTTCAATAAAAATACACTTTTGAAATGAATGTGGTTTTGGTGTTGCTCCTTCTGTAATCTAAATAGTTTAAATTTAAAAAAAAATTATTCAATTTTTATGATATTGAATCAAAAAAATAACCTTCATTCTCAGATCATGAAGTTTCTTATTTAAAATTGCATCAGTCCCACTTTTTTTATGATATAAATTATAAGCTTTTAATTTTTTATATAGTCTTTGATCTTTAATTCCATCTCTAACTTGGTTTTGAATGTTACCTAAAAATTTGTTTATTTTTTATTATTTTTTTTCCAATTAATAACACTGTGCAACAAAATAAACCAGCCCAAATGGGAAACAAAAATAGGCCAACACTTGATCTTGTGAATGGAATATATGAAAATATCAACAAATTGATAAAAAAGGTTCTTAGGTCTAAATATAATTTTATTTCCAATTGAAATCATTTAGACTAAGAGTGAGGCCCAAAATATTGTTGCACTATGTTATAACTAATAACATACAATAAGTTTCTTTTTCCCGTTTCAAAGCTTGCAAATATTTCCTTCTCCTTTCCTTTAAAATATGTTGCAGATGCCTATATTGATCAATATAAAGTGATTGTAATCGAATCAACTTATCTTTAGTCAACAATGTAATTTCTTCTGATGTATATACATTTGCATGCCTAAAAAAGATTTAAAATAATATTTAAATTAATTTTTTAAATTTTATATACTTTAAAGGATCCTCATTCTCTGAATCAATGCTTTCATTATCCGAACTATCACCTTGACCATCATGCCAAACGTTTGCAAAAGTTGTAGGTTCAACATCACTTTCCGATTCACTACACATATCTAAAATATCGCTACAAGATGCGTTCACACTTGCAGCATCAATATCAACTAAAAAAAATAAAAAGATTTTTATGTGAATTAAGCTAAACAAAAAATAAAGTTTATTACCAAATGGATCCAACGATCTTGTAGCTTTAACTTCACCCTCTTCCCCAAGAGACTCATCATTATCATGGGAACCTTGAGTACTCGAAGAAACAGTTCTTGTACGTGGTTTTCGAACATAATGTGCAAGTGAATGTAATAGAACTTCCGCTGTTTGAGGTGGTGGGTGTTTTGTTCCATGTCGAACTCTTGTTAAATGCGTTTTTAACGCATGTTCATTACAATAACTACTCCATAACAAAAAAAATTAAAATAAAAAACATAACCTTAAAAAAATTTGACATTCAAAATGTAACATAACCTTACTTTATAAAAAAATATATTTAAAAACCACTCATCAATCTTTATTAGCTTTAAAACTTACTTGCTATTTCCAAAATCTTTCTTATCCGATTTTAAAGCGGGCATATAACATCTTTTGCCGTTTGCAGTGTAAACATAGGAGCATTGTTTGAAGGGGGCGTTCTTATCCTCCAAAATATGCCTCAAACAGTAATTGTAACCGTCGAGAGTTAATTGTGTGCACTCAAATGGCTTATAAGTGCACTGCTTTTTATTTTGAAGCTCAATTTGTAATTGCATTCTGAGTGCCGCTTTAGCTTTCGCCGCAGCAGAGGCCGAAGGGGAACTGCCGTTTATCTTGTGGGACTTCTGAGTGTGCATTTTGTTTGGAACGGGTAAAGCGCGCCAAATTTAAATTTCTTCTAAGAATTATAAGAAATATCTTGAAGTAATTCCAATTGGAACTTGCATTTGTGATTAGAAATAGAATTTTATCGAATCAATTAAAATTATTGTCGGTAGCTAAGGTGTATTATTCATTTATTGCAAATTTATTTGTTTTGGTCCAAATGACAATATGATGAATGTGGTTATGTCGGGTAATGCTCGAGAAATAAATAATTTTTATTTAAAAATTTTTATTTGGGGTTAGATGTTTTTGTTATTAATTTACGAATGTAAAATTTGTATTTAATAAATATAATTAATTAAATTCGGATTTGTTTGGTGTAGCATAGTTAGAATCTAACTTCACGTCGATTGAAATATTGAAGGTTAAATGGTTAAGGTGACAATTATTATTAAATTAATAAACATTGCTGACAAATGTTATAAAAGTGTAATTAATTAAACGTTAAAAATAAGTTAATGTCAAATTAAAGCAAAATTTAAGCGATTTTTGCCCAAAAATATGTTTTATCTGGTAGAATACGCGCCATAGCACATGCGCGCTAATTTTCAAGTTCTACTTCCGTTAATTGACCGGATAGCGCCATAACTGTTTGGGTCAGTTATACGTCCGTAAGATACATTAAACGTGGGTGTTTGTTTTCCAAAAAGATCTCATAAAAAACGTTTTAAAAAAGTAGGATTTTATTTATAAATATATCTGTGATAAATACTCCAAGTCGTTACTTTCCGTTAAAATTCTTAAAAGCTTATGTTGTCTAGTGCGGTTGATCGGCCATCGAGCAGTGAAAAACATCAATTTGCAGGCACTTTGTGAATCTGGATACGAATTCTACCAAAAACGAAACTATAACAGAAAATATCGTGGGTTAAAAGGTCAATAAAGTATCGTGGAACGAACTTACGTGAAAACTGTGTCGTAAACCGGCCAATACCTTGAAAATAACGCGTCCGATTCGGATCGAGGTGATGTTTCTTGGAATTCCGAATTGATTGTGACGCAAGAGTACGACTCGAAACGTATAGAAGGGGGCGACGGCGCGCGTGTTTTCTGGATCCGCCCGCGGTATCAGGTCTCGAATGAAAGAAATTGAACCCAAAACGTCGTTTATCATCACGGTACGTTTAGGTTAAATATATCATGTTCGGACTATGCAATCGTATTTTAAAGTGATATCAAATGTACCACCGTCGTAATATTTTTGTGACGACGCGAGGCGACATCTGTACCGTTCCCTTTGCATTTCGTTACGACGTACGTAAATGGCTAACGGCGATGAGAAGTGGTATTTTTCGAAAGAACGACTCGAAAATTCACCCTCACGCCAATGCGGAATCGACGAGAGCAAGGAATTGTCTTATAGACAACAAGCTGCCAATTTTATACAGGATATGGGCCAAAGACTTAAAGTGTATCCTTTTTTTATGTAACCACATCGCTTAACCTCACTTTTATCAGCATAACAAATCGTTTCTTTTTACAAGATATTTAAACCCATGTTGGTTATTTATGCGAAAAATTCGTTGACTCAACCAATTATAATGGCAGCTTAACATTTTTTATTATTTACATTGGGATATAACCCTGAGTATTGAGATTCCGAATTGTTTAACTCATTTTTAGGTCAAATAAATTGATTACTCATTCTAATTAAGGTGCAAATTACAAAGGTATAATTATATCTATGACAAGGATTGGTATCTTAATTCTAGTTATTTTGATTTAGTAACCGGAAAATTTTAAGTTTGATTAAATTTAATTATAGAGGTAAGTCGATAAAGGTTAAAATAAGGCACCAAAATAGAATCTCTATAGATTGTATGTAGCAATATCAATAAAAGATGGTGTAAATCATTTTATTGTTAAAAAATCGGAAATTGTTGAGGTGATGTTGCAAGCAAACAATGGCGATTTTAATATGTAAGGTGATGAATGCCTTCTTGTTAAGAAAAAGTTTATAAATATTTCTTAACAATTTCAATAATAAACATAGAGCAGACTGTAGAGCAAAAGAATAAATTACACAAATCAGCAAAACAAGGAATGTTGATTGTTGTTAGATGGCTGATGATCATTTTTGAAGTAATTTTCTCTAGAATCAGAATTTGTGCTCAGAATTGGACCATCACAATTTTGGGATATTTGAAGTTATGTACAAGAAAAATAATTTTTTTTGGCTAGTTTTGAAGTTTTTTAAATAATACAGCACCGTTTAATAGCACATTTTGAAGGGCAAGAATAATACTGAATGATGTAATAGATAGAGTAGAGCCAAAAATATTGTGTGTCTCGTATATAACCTCGGATATCTCAAAATCCTGATATGATGGTCCAATTCTGAGCTCAGATTATGATTCTACACAGAAAATACTTCAGAAATGGATGAGCAACAACAAAACTTTGCAAATCTGTGTTATTTCTGTGTTATTTCTGTATTATTTTGTTTTACCAATTTAGAATGAGGTTATACCAACGATTTAATTACACTAAGGAAGTATTATAAACTAAGAACAAAGAGTTAAATCACACATGAAAGTAACATATCATGATATTGACAAATAGCAAAAACATAGAAAATACCAGGGAAAAACTATTTAAAATTGGGTGTTTACAGAAGTTAAACTTGAATATCAGACCAAAGGTGTTCATTAAAACATTAAATATTTAAGTTCCTAAAGTCCTTCCAAAGGTTTAGGACAAACTAGGTCCTTGATGAACCTTAGAATTAACCTTTAAAATATATAATTTTTTGCAGAGAGCTAGAAAACCATTTAAATATGCTAAAATATGTAAAACTTACCGAAAAGTCACCTTGAAAATTTACAACTGCAAGATTATATAAATTTCATAGAACGAACTAAGAAATCTATTTTTTTCAATTTTCCCGCCGAATTTAACTTCAATACAACCCAAACCGCAAACATTTGCCTGATTTTAGCGCTATCAAAAATGTATTATTTGTGGAGTTAATTTCTAATGTTTTTAGAACTGGGAATTACTTTATTATGGACCGTTAGGTACTATCTTAATTTTATCTGATGATTATTATCTATCCAGTTAATTACACATAAGGACACTTAAAACGGCTATAACCGTCCGACATGTACGACTTGTTTTAGGATCCATTCACTAAAGTAATTTTTATTAAACACTAAACTTTGCTATAGTGAATTTATTATGAATAGGTATAATTTCGTTGGAAATGCTTTATATTTGGTTCTTTATTTGGGTATTGATGTAACCTTCGTTTTGGGTTCAGTCACCTCGACGAATATAACTAACGTCTTAATTCGTATGCTATGACTCGCGAAATAGCTTCAATTTAAAGACAACAGGGCACCGTTTTGGCATCAATAAGTTTACCAAAGTAAAGGAAAGGCAGGAATTAAGCGTTTATACCAGCAAAAGTATTAATCATATATGGACAACCATGATTGTCGACTTGGCATCAGCCATGTTTGATTGGAGAAAGGGTTCTGTTGAACTTTTAGCGCGAATGATTCCCTGCTCTCACAAAACGTTGGCACCCTTTCTCTGGAGATAGTAGAAAAATTAATGCCTACGTTATGAGGTGATTTACCACTCCACATGCTTTAGTCATCAATTTGATCCTATCTACCTCGTCTTTCCTTTCTTCTAATTTGCAACTTTGTTTCCCAGTTCTCCATCAAATTCATTTTCCCTTTTGCCTTGTATTTTTTGCATTTGCATACAGTTTTAATCTTTGATAATTAAATAAAATAATTTCCGTAAACATTTTAAATGTCAGTACAGATCTCCCATATTTGGAATAACCCTTAACACTGCACCACATGATTTGTCTATGTTGTGACATTTATCACTATGGTGGTGCCCCCCAGGTTTCTACTTGCCCAGAACAAAATAATTTTGGATTCGTAGTAGAAGCCCATTTTTTATCTACTTTCACATCCCCTTTATCGAATTGTTTGCAGTCCTTTACCACCAATGCCAGATCAGCTGAATATGCTGTTAAGTTTACTCTGATCTGATTGTTAAATTGGGTTCTATTATATTGGTTTTTATGAGTAACTTTTGATCATACTTAATAGGTAATTGAGCTTATTCAAGATTATTCTTTTCTATAAAAAGAATTTTTTAAGTGGGCTTTAGGCTATAGTCTGCTCTTGTAAATCTTAGATGGACCAACATTAATCTATATCTGAATTTATACTTCACTGGTACCTTCACCCTATATCTTATATATTTAATAAAAAATTAGTTATTTGTTCCAGCAAAAATCTTCAACCTTAATTTTTGATGTTTTATCACATTTTTTACAAAATTTTACCTACCATTAGATATCTAAAAAAATCTTTCATCAGATTATAATTTTCTTATTATTGCAGGGAAAACAATCAACTTTTAACTTTGTTTATGTATTTATTACAATTTATGTATTCGATTCAATAACATTCTTAATTTTTACAGGTTATTCAACTGATTTCTCTTTAATTTATATAATTTGTTTTGTAATAACTACAATAACAATTATCAAAATGTAAAGATAACATTTATTAAAAAATAAACTTTATTCAGAAAGATTTCGTTATGTTTTTTAAATGATTCAGTCATTATTTTTATTTTTGGTTCATTCAAAATTTTTATTTATTTATTAGTTCGCTTTATCTAATTACGAAATTTAAAAGTCTGACTATTCTAAATTAATAAGAATAGAAATTCAAACTCATTCAATAATAATTTGTCTTATTATGTAAACAATTCGATTATTAACTTTTATGATAATTTTTATCAAAGAAAGTTTTTAAGCTAATAACCCTTATAATCTATAAAAGCGGTGGATTTTCTTTAAGCGAAGTAGCAAAAATGACAACAAAATTTTCCTTAACCAAAAGAATAGATCACAATTATGTATCAACACGGCAATCGTCTACATGCACAGATTTTACGTCTTTCATTCCTTTACACATTTCTATTGGGCTTCGATAGCATCGGCATCGATATTTTTGGCGGCCAAAGTCGAAGAACAGCCAAGAAAATTGGAACACGTTATCAAATACGCAAATTTATGCAAAAATCCCCATGATACCCGAATATTCGAAATAACTTCCGAAAGGTATTTTTTAAAGGAACTTTAAATGTTTATTGATTTTATTTTAAATTAAAACATTTAGATACCAAGCCCAATCGCAGGACTTGGTTTTTAACGAAAACATACTGTTGCAAACGTTAGGCTTTGACGTCGCCATAGATCATCCCCATACGCATGTGGTTCGATGTTGTCATTTGGTCCGTGCTAGTAAAGATTTGGCTCAAACTTCTTATTTTATGGCTAGCAACAGGTGAGGTTATTATTATTTTTTTTTATTGTTATTTAATGATGTACTTAATTCATTTCAAGTCTTCATCTAACGACAATGTGCCTGCAGTATAAACCCACAGTAGTGGCGTGTTTTTGTATTCATTTAGTGTGTAAATGGTCTAATTGGGAAATTCCTTTATCAAATGAACGGAGAGAATGGTTTTCTTACGTAGATCCAACAGTTACGTCAGATTTATTGAAAAATTTAACCGAAGAATTTCTTACGATATTTGAAAAATGTCCGTCAAGACTGAAAGAAAAAATTATGTCTATTGGCGGTTATTTTGTAAGTATTGTATTGTTTATGCATTTATAGGGTACGTTTGGTTAAGTTGAATAGGAAAAAAAAAGGTTTTTGGGAGGATTATTCTTTTTTTTAATGTTTAGGAGGGTGAAAGAAGATTAGGAATGTTAACGGACGCTAAAGATCAATCTCATCACAGACCTTATGACTCAATAAAACCAGGAACAACTGACGATCCTCATAAACACAGACCAAAACCTCACGATGCGAGTTCGTCGAGCGGAAGTGGTGGTCAACATCAACAAGATCGTGAATATCGCGATAAAAGAGAAGCGGAGCGAATGGCGAGACACGCTTCCGCAAAACAAGCTTCCTCCGGAAGTTCCTTGAGTAAACCTCTCGTGCCTTCAGGCCATCATCGTCCCCCCGTTGATCCAAATAAAATGAAACATAATCGTCCACCTTCTTCCGGTCATTCTTTTAGCGGTAGTAATAGTTCATCTTCATCTAACCGACCTGATCAACATAGAGATATTTTAAGAGAGGCGACGCGAGATATTGGTTTAAAGGAGTATCATAGTGTTGGAAATAGCAGAGAAATGAGGAACGAGAAAGATATCCAAAAAAGAGATAGCATGTTAAAACCTAACGTTTCTGTTGAAGGTAGTGTTTATATGGATCGGTCGAGTTACGCCCCAACAAAACCTAGACCTTCCACGGATCCCAATAAAATGCCTCATAGACACGAAGAATCTAAGATGTTTTTGAAAAATGAGAACGAAATTAAAAAGCATTTAAATTCATCGTCGAATGTCTACGAAAAAATTCCTTATTTAAATAAACCACCCGCTATGCAACGTAATAAACCAACGGAAAACGTTTTTGATCCTACAAAATCCGTCCAAAAGCAACAACAACCCATCAAGATGGAAACCCCAAACGGACAAAGCAATATTACTTCAGTTTTTTCCGTTCCTATTTTACTCGACGAAAATCAAATAAAGACAGATAATAAAACGGAAATTATTCCTCCAGCGGTTATAAAGCGACCGAGTTTATTTTCACCGGAAAAATCACCCCCACCACCTCCTCCGGTTATTATCAAAAAAGAAAAGCATTCGCCGATTAATCCGATAATGAATAAATTATCACTTGATGTTCCTCAAACGTTATCTAATCTGTTGGTTCCACCTCTATCTCCATTTAACTCACCGGATGGTGAGAAGCAATCGGACATGTTACGCCAAACGATTGTGCATCAACCAAAATTAGAACAAAGCGAAGGGTTTGAGAATATACTCAGGGATTCGGGGATAAAAGCACCGCCTAATAAGCACCAAGTACCCGACATTATAACTCCAATCGCCGATGTCAAGACTGTTCCTCAACCTAAAGAAATCACTAAAGAATTAAAACCGCCAGATCTGATTCCACCATTTACAATAAATAATGTAGTGAATCCAAGCGCACCTCTTCTCTCTCAACCTTTAGTTAATGGTATTGAAACAAATCCCACGTTAATAAGCAATTTATTAAAGGAAACTGCCTCGACCGTAACGCATTTACCCACAATTTCCCCCCCATCTGATAAAAACGATAGTTCTAAAGACAACAAAGATCATCATCATAAAGAACGTAAAAAGAAAAATAAGGAAAAACATAAACACAAAGATAAAGATCGAAGTAAAGATGATAAAGAGAAAAAGAAGAAGCATAAAGATAAAGAGAAAGACAAACATAAAAATAAAGAAAAAGCCAAAGTGGAGGAACGGATTAAAATTACAATATCGAAAGATAAAATTCAACCTCCTGACGCAACGGCATGTGGTGGATCCATTAAAATCAAAATCCCTAAAGATCGAATTAAAACGGATGTTATTCTTGAACAACCCGCACAACCACCACCACCACCCCCATCGACGGCGACGCATGGTGCTGGAGGGCTAAAAATTAAAATATCCAAAGATGTCATCAATCATTTTAGTGGGAATGACAACAAGAAAAGAGAACGTGAAAGGACTTCGCCATCGGATGCGCCACCAAATAAATTATCAAAATCGAGCTACAATCGAACAAGTGATCCGAAAATGAATGGAAGAAATTCTTTTGGAAAGGTAAGTAATAGTAGTATAGATAACAGTAATGTACAACAACAACAAAAATCACTACAACAACAGCTTCCACCAACACAAATTAATTTGCAAAATAGTAGTAGCAATAGTAATGTTATGTGCATGCAACAACAAAATTTTCAAGCTCAAAATATACAATCGAAAAATATGCAATCAAAGAAGAATTTACAAAAAACTTTACAACAAAATTTGCAACAACAACAAAATTTACAACAAGCTCATTATATGTTGTATCCGCCAACGAATATTCCACCGCCTTTTAATATGACAGTTCCTCCACCTTACATGTATCAAAATCCCCAAATGTACTATAATTACCATCCTGTTTATCCGTCACAGACGATGTATCCACCACTTATGCCTCCTGGAAATAGTGGGGGTGGAGCTCCACCGTTACCTCATGAAGCCCCACCTGATAATCCACCTCCACCTCCTCCAGAATAAAATAAAAAAGGAAATTATTATCAAGTAAATGGAGCACGTAAGAATTTTGTAAATATTATTTTTTTTCTTGATTATATTGTTGGTTAGTTTTTGTTGAAAAGTGATTGCAAATTAATTAATTATTAATTATAAATTAATTAATTATAAAAAAGATGAAAAAATATTTTTGGGTTGGTTCGTTAAAAAATATAAAAATTAGGACTTTTATTTAAAAAAAAAAGAATAGGTTTAAATATATTAAAGCAAGATATATCAATTAATCTCAAGTAAAAGAGAAAATTGTCTGTATCGACAAGAATCAAGTTAAAATTTACACGTTATGCATAAAAATTTCAATTCACCTTTGATATCAATTTATTTAATTTGATTGCCCAACGAGAGCAATATTGACGCATTTTTTTGTAATTGTTAATAAGTGTGGTTATTACCACCTTGTAAACAGTTCTAACAGTTTTTTCACCATAACTATGAACACAGTGCTTTGACCTGTCTCGATTTTATTTGGTTTTATTCTTGTCATATTTTAGTTAAGACTTGTTGCTCTTCCCCATTGACTGTTCATAATACTGGGTGTGGCAAAACAGATTAAGCAGGTTATAAAGAAGTAATGGGTATATATAGAGAGAAAATGTTTTTATTTCTGAATCATATTGTTTTAAAAATAATGTTCTCAAAATAGCAACAATTAGCACACTGTTGGAAACGAGTTCTGAATCTTTTACAGCTCGTTTACACATTTCACAAGTTATAGCGTTAAATTCTTTAATAATCCACTCCCTTAGTTCTGGCAGGGTTTGAGGGCGGCGTTTAAACACCCTTTCCTTCAAATATCCCCACAGAAAGAAGTCACATATGTTTAAATCTGGTGACAGTGCGGGATTCCTCAGAGAGACCAGACGTCCGGGAAAACTTTCTCTTAAGGTTGTCAGTGAATTTCGAGCTGTAACTCCTATGTGGCTGTAACTTGATACAGCCACACATCCCCCAACGTGTTCTTTAACAATTTTTCCCATTCTTGGTTTCGTAACATTAAATTTCGTAACATTGCTGTTAGTTCAAAAATATAGTAATAAAAAGTCTAAATGAAATTAAGTTTTTATTTCTGACCATCGAACTAACGAACCTACAGAAACGCATGTCTTTGTATTGCTATTTCAGGTTAATTTTCTCTAATTTCCTAACAAAATAAACGGTACATTATAGACTTACAAAGTTAGAAATTCATGTTGTAAGTAAGGTGATTGACACTTACATAAAGAAACTAATTCTTAATAATTTAAGAATTAGTCAAGAATTAAATCAAATATTTTTTAAGCATAACGTGTAAATTTTGAATTTTATTCTTCTAGACTAGACAGTATTCTTATTAATAGACGAATTTCAATGATATATTTTTTTCTGGACATTATCATTAAATTTATTTTAACATTTTTTTTGAGAAGTTCTCTTAATTACGTCTTATGTTATTATCATAAAAGGAAGGTTAATGAATAAGTTTTTTTATAGATTTATTAAAACGATAATTCTATTTCTATCTAGTTATATATTAATTTTTCATCTAAATATCAAATCATGGCTTTAAAACTAAACTAAAAGTGCCATCAATTTAGCATTAACAACTACACTATAATTTCATTTTTTTTATTAATTAATTAATAATTATCTTATTCTTCTCAAGAAAGATGTTTAAAATAAATATCAAGTTCGTCTGTTTAATTAAAATATAAAATACTCTTATAATAATTATTTTAATTAATAAATTAGTTGATTTTTTTATACGTTTAGTACTTAATCATGGCATTAAAAGAATAAAAGAGTGGAATATAATAAATCCAAAAATACACAACAAAAAATACATAAAAATGTTCCTTTTATACTTATATATAATAAAAAATGGTGTAAATATTAATTTTAATGTAGCCAAATTGACTGAAATCATCAAAAAAAGTCATTCAAATATAATTTGTAATGATAAAAGAAGAGATGTCCTTTAAGAAAAAAATTGTGTGGAAAATTGAGTGCTGTGTGTATGGTTTGATTTGTATGAAGTTTTTCTTAATGGAAAAGGAATGCATTTTTTTAATCAGCGTTTCCATTTCTACCTTTGGTTGTTGTATGTGAAAAAAATTTAAATAAAAAAAGTGACTGAACTTTAATCGTGATATAATAATTTTGTCAATGAGTTTAATTTTTAATCTCTTTCTAATTAATTTAAAGTTTAGGACTACCATATAAATCAATTAAAAATTATGTTGCATTCAATCATGTTTAATTGTATATACTTGTTATTTATGTATGAAAATTTAAAAGTTTAATTTTTTTAATATTTTTGGTAGTAAATAGATGTTTATAGTAAATTTTCCTTTTTTCCTAATTGATAATTTAATTACGTTTTTAGCGTTTAGTTAATTTATTATTATAGAATCTATAAAAAAAACAATCTTATAGAATTTATTATTAATACATACATATTTTTATTTGGGCCTTAACAGACTGGCTATAAAATTATAAAAAAATAATGATAATCTGTAGAAACCAAAAGGAATCAGATAAATTAGATTTTGTGTTCTTCTTGTAATAATTAATTAATAATCCAATTTGTAAAACTGTTTAACACTATTATTTTTTTTATTTTATTACTCTTTTTTCTCGTTTAATTCTTTTTTAGGTTTAACAACAAATCAAATTCTGTGTTTTTTTTTTAATTTTTATTGATTAAATAAAAAATAAACAAATTATTGTTTAAACAGAAAACGCTTTTTGCTTTTTTCTCTTTCAAAACAAAAAACAATCAAAGTTCTTCCTTTATATGCAGTCTGTTTTGGGGAAAACACAAAAAAAATCGAAATTATTTTATTTTTTTAATTAGCAAATAGTTCTGTCTTCATTGAATATTTGTAGAATGTAATTAATTGCATGTTATTTATTTTGCTCACTAATTAATGTATTTTATGTTCTTTATGTAGCATGGCTTTCACTTTTTTTTTTTTTGTTTTTTGCAAATCTTATTTAGAAAAGATAATCTTTCTCGTGATGTTTAATAACACTTTAAATAACAGTATATACATGAAATTCATTAAATTTTTACTTCTGTTAGGACTATAATAGTTATTTACGTATTAAGGCGGGAAAGTCTTCTTTTTTAATAGATTTCAAACGAATTTTTTCGAAAGTATTAAAAAAGTCTTTCTCACCGTTACGCATATTATGTTTTTCTGAAATCGTTAAAATTTTTGATTAGGCCATACCCCAGCTATACAATCATCACCCCTTTTGATTCATACTTCTTTCAAGAAACGCGTCATCTTCTCCATAAAATAATATATTATCGATTTCAGAAAAATGTTTTTATGATGACATTTTTGTTGATACAAATAACTTTAATATTTATATGAATTAATACAAAAAAAAAGCTTCCATCTTTTTTTATATAAAATAGATGGATGGTATCGTGTGTTATACTACGGTGTTTGGTGCTTTGCAGGTGGCGCAACACGGTGATGGCGAAGCATCCATGCACAGGTTGGCGGAATCTAAATATATCAACAAAGGGGCAGCTAATTTATAAATTAAATAAGCTTTATTATTTTTTCTATTTCTTATTTAATTATTATTGCGATTTAAAGTAATAGATCTCGTATAAACGCCTCTTTTTTTATATAGGGTGATTAAAAAACATTAATTCAAATTATTAATCATGAAAATATTTACTTCTTCAACAATATAGGGTGTTATATTCATTTTTAAATGTAGTTAAGAACATAAAAGTTGACGATTTCACTTAAATTTTAGCATATTAATAAATCCAGGAATACAGTTTATTTATTATGTTTATTTTGACAATTGTATGGAGTTAGATAGGGATCCAAAATGATAAATGCCACTTTAATTTGAAATGTTTAATCTCGGTTTTAATTATAATACTGAAGATAATTTTCTAAATTACTTAGGAACATCTCCTAAAATATGTTGTATCTTCAAACTAATTCTTTCTAAGTTTACCTATAGTAACAGATTTATAAGTTTATAGGTAATACATTGTACTGACTCCTGCAAGATACAACAAGCTAAAAAGTTTTTCTATTTTGGAGAAATAGAAAATAAAATTTGTATTGTTGCAATATTCCTCAATCTTTGTAAAATTGCGCTTGTTTATTTTATTGTTAGGTTTTTCAATCCTATTCTTTTAGTACTGTTTATACTTACATTAACATCATCAAAAAATATTAGTTATTTGTATTGTGTTACAACATTTGTATCTTTATTAGCCATGTGGGCTTCTTTCGGGTTGTTAGTCACTTATTCACTTGATGATTAGGTTGGTACCCACTCATATTGGGTTACAAGTTAGATAATAGTCTGGGCAATGTAGGGTAAACATATTTTATATGGTAATTTTGACGAAAACTTATTGATAATCGTATATAAAATATTTATAGATGGAAATTTAACGTAGATGCTCATATTTTGAAAATTTTAACTCATTTTTATTGTTAACCTCAGTTAATTGTATTTAAATTACGAATTTGGATCAGTATCCACAACGAATTGTTAAAATAAACGTAATAAGTGAACAAAATTGAAATTGAATCTACAAATCGTTAAAAAAGCATACGAAAAAGCTTTTAATACATCTAAGTTTGATAACATTAAAATAGTGCACCATTATCATCAGAACTTTACATCATTGAACTTTACGCATTCTCTCAGTAAAATGATTCTGGAACATTTTCGACACAAATATACATTTTTTTACATATTATAAATTAGATTCTTGAGTAAATATGTTTTTGTAGCAGATATGGATCATTACTTCTAACAAACATCATCTCAGAATGTATGGATTTTCTTCATTATATTGTCTTCCAACTATTTGTTTTGTTATTGTTTTCCAACCGTGAACTTCCATATACACTGAATATGGAACATGATTGATACTAAACATGATTTGTAACTAGATCTGCACAACTTTGAGACTGTCTAATTTTTTTATGTACCATTTTGATCTTCGATAGAATGTTATGGTAACATTTTTTTTAATACTCGTTTATGAGTATTAGTATGAACATTTGAAGCTTATAAAGGTTTGGTTTGAAATCTCTACAAATGTAGATATTGTGTTTGGCACATCTGCATCATTCTAACATTTTACTTAGTAGTTGGTTACATATCATATCTTTTATTCTATACATTGATGAAAAAAAATGTCTAAATTTTCTGCACAATAAAAGCAATGTGCTTGGTTAATAAATGAAATATCTGTTTGAATAGGGACCATTTATTTGGAAATCTTTCCTTTCTGCCAACATTTTCCATGTATAGTACAAATCATTGCTGGTGCCATATCACCATATAGATTCTCTCTTTATATCTTTTTGTCGGTAGGCTTGAATTTGATACTTCTTAAATAGAGTTTTTGAATACATCTTTTCTGTACGTATTTTTTATACATAAGTAAAAGCGTAGTATCTTTCCTAATAAGAGCCTCACATAATAGAATAGAGCCTCATATATTGTTCTAGGATAACCACAACATATATTTTTGGTAAAAATTGTTGTAAAACTTTCATAGTCCCATTAATCCTATAACTAGTTTTAGACAAAAAACATTCTATTTTATATGTTCAGTTTTACTCAACTTAATGTAAAAATGAGTTATTATATAATAACCTGTTGATGGCTTAGTAAGTTGAGTAATAATAAGCAAATTTTTTTAATAATATATAAACTTTTTGTTTTTTAATCACCCTGTATATAAGAAATTACAAGATATCTCAAATCTAAAACCTATAAAAATAATCACGATATAATATAAATAGTGTTCATTTGTTAATTATTGAAGAAAATGTGATTCTATTTTCTTTCTTTTTTTAATCTGATTACCGTTAATTTATTGATATTCATAAAAAAAATGCATTTAATTTTGTAATGTTTAGAATCATAGTTTTTTTATTAATAATAATTTTGAACACTGTATGATGATCCAAATATATATAGAGAGAGAGAGTTTATTTTTTAATTAAATGCACCTTGCAATTGTATGATATTTAAGTGATTTTTAAAAAAATTTATTGAAAGAAGTATCTATTCCATTTTTATTGTTATTAATTAAAAATTTTGTATTCATTTTTGATGAAATGAGAACTCTCTGTGTAAAATATTAAGTTATATATCGATAAATAAAGTTGAAAGCATTAAGGAATAAGTGTGGATCATGTATATAAATTTAAAAATGACTAACGACGAAAAAAGACAAAGAAAAGAAAATGTAATAAGAAAATAGTGATATATGAAAACTTAAAAAACAAAAAAAACTTAAAAATGTAGTGTATACTAAAAATTTAGATTAAACAAAAAGTTTTTTCTTAACAACTTCCGGCCTATTTATCAAAAAAAATATATATATGAACAAAAATTATTAATTAATTGATGATATTTATAGATTATGCCAACTTGGGGAGTAAAATTAAAAAAAGTCATTAAATTAAAATTAATCATTAAAAAATCATTATTAAAATAATCATCATTAAAAATTCATTTTCATTTTATAATATTTGGGTTTTTTTGTATGTGTGTCTGCTGCTTTATTATTATTATTTTTTTTGTGTTAATGGTTCTCCCCAAAAAGAAAAAAACTTGATAGGAAAATATTGTTACCTCTGTTTTTTATTAGTATTATGTATGTCTATAATAATTATTATAAATAGTTATAATTGTTCAACTTATAATTAATGAAAAAAAAAAATTAATGTGATTATTAAATCACCTTAAAAAATTCATCATTTTATATAAATAAATTATTACTGTGAGAAAATCGGAGCTTTGGAGTACATTTATAATCCAAAGAATAAAACATTAAAGAAAAAAAAAAGATAAAGGAAAATAAATATCGACGCAACGTGTACAATAAATCACTAAAAACAAAAAAAAAATGTAAATACGTTTCACACACGGTATTTCTGTAACTCAAGATATCATTTGTGATTTAATTTTTTATTTTTATTATTATTACTTTTGTTTTTTCTTTTTTACTTGTAGTTAGGTAGAATATAGATATGAAAATCAATATATTTATATATTACAATACACGTATATATAAATAAAATAATTACGTACAAAAAATTATTAAACAACAAATTTAAAAATGAAGAAAAAGATTTGTTCCTGTATAAAAAAATTACGCACTAAAAGTTGTTAAAGAAACAATTGATTTTGCAATAAAAAAAATGTCTATTAAAATATCTTTGTATTATCTAAATTTGAAACTTTGAATATTGATATAATGGAAAATATTAACTAAGTAATTTATTGTTATTTAGATAATACAACGAAAATGAGTATGTTCAATAAAAATTATCTCTAAAGTGTCGACACAAACAAAATTTAATTTGTTTAAAGTTTAATTTAGATAGCTTAAACTATATCATTTTTATTCTTTTAATGTGTTACAGGTGTTTAGGGGACATTTTTTGTTTGAATTTGTCGGTGTAGAAAGAAAAGTTCCGGTTTCATCAAAGAAGCTAAAGATGAATCTTTTTTTTTGTCGAAATTTATTATACATTTGTGGCACAACATTATATTTTCCTGTTTTTGATGCAAAAATAACATATTTGGGTTAGCACCGAAATGGGTTAACTACTAACGCAGCTTTTTCAAATCTGGTTGGATAACATTTTTCATCAAATAATAATTGAGGTAATTTAACATGAAAAAAAAATCAATTTTAATTAAAGGTGTGTCCAAACATAGAGTCTTCACGAGTCGCATGTTGCCGCGTAATACTGCATACATGCTTTGATGCGTCCAAACTTGCATTAATTCATCCATATTTGGACCATATTTTGGCTTCATTGTTATATGATCGGTCTAATTTTGAATATTTTTACTTTAAAAATTTAGACTTTGCTTCTCAATATCTACAACATTTTTGTTGTAATTAAGTTTTTACAACGTTTGATTTTTGACACACGTCCTCTAAATTGTAACATTTTTAGAAACAATAATTCAACAATAAGACGTTAATAATTTCTAATAATTAGATATAAATTGTAATTGATTACTTTAGAGTATTTTTATTGAACATAAAATATAAAAAAATTAAAATTTAAAAAGTGCATTATAATAATTTTAGTGATTTATTTTGAAAAAAATTTTAAATAATAAATTTAAGAGTTAATATTTGTGTGCAACTATACAATATGTATATATTACATACATATAAATACCTAGATTAACACCTGTATAAAGAATTTTTTTTATTAATTGAACAGTATCTCAGGTTACACTTCTCCTATCGCAGTAAATTCTGTAAATATTATAATAAACTTTTTCTTATTATTGCAGGGTAGTTAGTCCGTATGTAATATTATTACATTAACTTAATTGTTTTATTTTTTTTTTGTATTTTCCATCATGAAATAATAACTAAAAAAAAGAAGAAAACAGGTAGTATTTTTACGTTTTAGGTTAACAATAATTATTTAAGTTTCTGACTGCGGAAAGAAATTTTAAACTTAAATTTAAAAACGAGGCATAAAATTAAATTGAAAATAAAAAAAAAACGACGTGTACAGAATATTTTTTACTTGTTATATATTTTGTTGTAACAATATTAACTTAAAAATATATATTTATAAAAATGGTTCACTTTTAATCTACAAGAAAAAAGTGTAGTTAATTCACTACTTTGTATCATATAAAAATTAATATGACATGGAATTATATAAATCTATTTAAAATCTCCAATTTATTTCATTTCATTCCCATTTCACACTGTGTATATGGGGAGTGTTACTGAAATATCCTGGAGGCATTATAAGAAAAGGTAAGTACAATTCTTATCATATCAAATACATTTATTGTTGTTTTACTATTAGTTATTAAAAGTAGTTATTAAGGGGGCCGTCTTAATAGAGGTATGGCTAAATCCATAAAATAATAATTAATAGGTCTAGTGTCTAACAGTCGTTTTTGATTCTACTTTCCTTGGTTATTAAAATTTAGTATTTTTACTTTTACATCCATCCAATGGCACTACAGTCCAATTCAGACCTTGGCCTCCTCCATTTTCCTCCTCCAAGCCCATCGCTATCGCTTTCCAATTGTGCACCTGTAATACTTTAATCCACTTTATCCCTCCAGCGATCACCTGGTCTTCCCACTGGTCGTCTGCCTTCAAGTTCCTTCAGACACACTCTTTTGGCAACTCTTGAAACATCCATTCCTTCCATATGACTCGCCCATTTGAGTCTGCAGTTTTAAATACGTTGAAACGCCAGCTTCCTTAAAGAGATTGTATAGCTCATGGTTGTATCGTATTCTCCATTGTTCGACTTCTTTGACCTTTGATTCTATGCAGAATCTTTCTCTTGAAAGCATCTAGGTTTGATTTGGCCTTTTGTGACAACGTCAAACTTCACTATCATCTTTATATCTTTGTTTTCCTATGGACGTTTCCAGACTTAAAAAAGTTGGACAGGACTTCTGCATATTTCTCTCATTGCGTCCCGGATAGGTATAGTGGTATCAAGATACATAAAGTCATTTACGACCTCAAAATTCCGATCTTCAAACGTTAGATTTTGCCTTCTCGTTCTATTACAATCGTACGATGAGTAGCGTTAGATCTGTAGCACTACAAAATAATGCAAAATTTACTCTCATCTATAAAAACAGAACCTTCTTCCAGAACTCTGCTTACTCGGCGAATAGCCTTATTTAGGTGTTCTTTAACAAAGGCGATCCGCTTCTGCCGACAGTTGGTCAGTTGATCCTACAGTTATTCTTATTTTTCGAAGAGCTTTCCCTCTTTCCATAGCTTTACAATAATCTTTCGTTCTCCTACTTCAATTTCTCTTCCTTTCATCTCCATTCCAAATTTTAGCTTCCAATTCTCTACTAATGCAATTGAAATCAACTGTTTTGTTATTAAAACGGGAAAGCGTACACACTCTATAAGCTATGGATTGTTTACACTACTCCCTTTGCTCTATATGCAGTTTTTGCAAAGGCATTATTTAAAGTATTTCCAAGTTCTTTGTACGCAGACTTCTGTTGCTGAGTGTACATATGTACAAAGTTGTCACAAATTCAAAACAACATAATCCATCTTAAATGTAATCATTTTTTTAACATTTAATATTAAATCATTGAATCTAAATTATAATAAGCTCTTCAACAAAATAAGTTAATAATTAAAACAATTTCATATCAAAAATAATTTAGGGATTTTATTTTTATACAATTGTCACTTTGACGTTTGACGCATAACGTAAACAACCGTCAAAATCGTATTTAAACCAGTTTTACATTTATGTTTTTTAAATAAAACATGTGTTAAATTTAATATTACGCTAATATCACCATGGCTTTATCGAGTATAGGAAATAAGATATCAACCGCACTAAAACAAGAAGATTTCACCGTTGTTCTCAAGAGCATTCACGAACTGAAAACGACGAATCAAGCGATTCAAGTGCTTTATTTAATTTATAAATCACGCGAAGAACCGGAATCGATAAATAATATTACACCAAATGAAATTACAACGCTGATTTCAGCAACGTTTACGTTTATTAAACAACCTACAGATAACGAAATAAAGCATTATTTATCCTGCACTTATAGGTTATTACAATATTTAATCAAAGAGGTAGGTTAAGATTTATAAAATTGATTCGTAATAAAATGTTTATGTTGTTTTAGGATGCTTATAATAATATATTTGAACTGAAAGATGTTTGGTGCCCACCTTTTATTACCAAAAACACATCAAAAGAGCATTTGGAAACATTTTTAGCACAATTTCTTTTATTGTTAATTTACAGTTCAAAATTGATTGCGCTAAATGATGAGAGAGTTGAAAAGTTAATAAGTTTAATTATTGATACAATTTCAAGATTTTCTTTAGAACTACTTATTGAAAAAAAAATTCTTAACTATTTGTATCAGATATTGTGGAAACTGATTAATACAAAAGCATTTGAAACATTATCCAAATATTTATTAACAAGATGCATTGAAAATAACAATGTAAATAAATTACTGGAAGTAATTTATTATATGTTATCCTCACAAAGAAAAGGATTTGATTCGTATCAACCATTTTTAAACATCGAACATAAATTAAACTCATTTGGTTTATTTAAATTAATATTAACTAACATTAAAATGATGATTACAAATGGAATTTTTACTGAATGTGTAAACCTAATACATGGTTTAAAAGAAAATGAATCCATAAATCAATACGCCAAGATATTAGAAGTTATTTTTTTACAACACATAAATTTAAAACCTGATAAAGGTGTGGAATCTCATTTAAATACATTAAAACATCATACAGAAATTGTAGGATTATGTGATTGTTTAGAAAGTAAATGTAAAATAATAAAATTGGAATTAAATCGATTAATGATCATCAATTCATTTTATAACTATATATTAAATAATGATGAAATTCCAAAAAGTTGCTTAAAAACGATTTTAAACGTTTATATTAAAACGTTTTCTCTTTATAATGAGAAAAATCTAAATGAAATTAATGTCAACTTATTTACAAGTACACTCTCAATAATATTTAACACAGCTACAAAATTAGATAAAAAAATAGTTTACAAAGAATTTGCAATACAATTTTTTGAAATAGTTGTTAAATGTTACTTAATCTTGGAAAATTTGATACCACATAATGAACAATACGAAGGAAGCTTCTTACATACTTCTCTTACATTAATAAGTAACAATTTTATGGCTTTGGGACAAATTGAAAAAGCAATGGCAGCTATTGCATATAATGTGTTTCATTGCAAAAAAGATTTTAAAACTTGCATCTGCACTTCGAAGTGGATTCAAATAAAAACAAGTCACAAAGAAAACTTAACAATTAAAAAAATTACGATTGCTTCGTTATTAACAAATAAATCAAAACTACAAACGTTTAAAACGTCGTTTAATGAAGAAGAAATATCTTACATTTTATTAAAAGAAATTAAAATTTATTCGACATTTTATAAATCGAAAATACCTTTAACCTATTGTTGTTTGGAATTAAATGAATTTGGGAATTCGTTTTTAACAGGAGAAGCTTTGGTTATGGCTTGGTTTAATAGTCCCGAAATTATTTTACCAGAAAATTATCCCATTATAACTGATCTTTTGAGTAAATTTGAAAAAAATACGATCGATTTTAATGATAAGAGTCGAATTGAAATCGCCAAAGTTTATTATTTATTGTATCACGTGAACGTAAAATGTTTAGGGAACGAAATTAAAGAACAAATTTTGATGCAGCCTCCTGAAAAAGAAGATAAATCTTATAGATATGGTATGGATATACCAAATAATAAATGGGATTGTGCCATAATCCATCAGTTAAGCATGGAAGAAATTAGCCGTGTTAAAACACCCTTAATTAAATCTAGAGAAATTTTGGAAGGAATTTTTTTAAGCGATTCATTTGAAAATAAGGTAAGGGATTTATATTTAAAAAATAAAATAAAATCAGTTCAAAGGTAAATGTTTATGTATTCATAATAATTGATTAAACAGTTTAATAATTAATTCACAAGATGCTCAAATAGATATTCTAGATTGTATCTTGATTATTTCGTTTATAACTGTATACCAGATCATGTTTTCAGTATCTTGCTATATACTTTTGTCATTTGCAAGAATTTTTCTAATTGTACAGGGTCGGGTTTCTTTTTTCAATCAGATGTTGGTGTGTTAATTTGTTTGTTAAACATCGTCAGTTGTCAAAATGTTTTGGGTGAGAGTAACCCGCGGTTGCAGTTTCTACTGAAGCTAGTCAATCGGAAATAGGTGCTGTTCCTGCCCAGAGATCCTTGTTATTGTGGATGGAAGCGGTTAAGGCAGTTGGAAATGTGTCCAACAAGAGCCCAGCAGCAGCACGGACCATTAGAATTTCTACAACAACTATGCTGTCCAAGCTTCAGTTTTGCGATCTCACAATGACCAATACTTCCACCCATACAAAATTTTAGTCGCACAACAACTTTCTGAACGCGATATGAAGAGTAGGGATGAATCATATGGATCATTGGGAATTGGGACACATTTTTTATAAGAAAATAATCGCACAGTAACAGTAAATTGGGAGCGTTATGTGGCTATGCTTGGTAATTTTTTCTGCCAGCTTTTGAAAATTTTGCTGTTGGCGAAATATGGTTTCAGCAAGATGGGATAACTCCTCCACCAGAGGTGATTTGTTTTATGGAGTTACCTCAAATCGAAAGTCTTTAACAATCGTCCTGCAATTTTGTAAGCATAAAAAGATAAGCAGCTGCGTTGGTGAAGTATGGTTTCATCAAGATGAGACAACTTACCTCAACCAGAGGTAATTTTTTTATAGAGCTACATCAAATCGAAAGTCTTTAACAACCGTCCTGCAACTCTGTAAGTATTAAGAAATGATATTCGTCATTAAATAGCTAACATACCGGTTGCTATGCTGGAGAGAGTGCACTTGCAAAAATCTGCTACAACCTAAACTTATCGAAATAAAAAGATTAAGGTTGGCGAAATATGGTTTCAGCAAGATGGGAAAGCTTGCCTCCAACAGAGGTGATTTTTTTAAGGAGCTACCTCAAATCGAAAGTCTTTAACAACCGTCCTGCAACTCTGTAAGCATTAAAAAACGGTATTCGTCATTAAATAGTCCACATACCGGTTGCTATGCTGGAGAGAATCCACTTGCAGAAATCGGATACAACCTCAACTTATCGAAATAAAAAGATAAGCAGCTGCATTGACGAAGTATGGTTTCATCAAGATGAGACAACTTACCTCAACCAGAGGTAATTTTTTTATGGAGCTACCTCAAATCGGCAGTCTTTAACAACCGCCCTGCAACCCTAAGCATTAAAAAACAATATTCCTCATTAAATAACCAACATACCGGCTGCTATGCTGGAGAGAGTCCACTTACAGAAATCTACAACAACCTCAATTTATCGAAATAAAAAGATTAAGCAGCTGCGTTTGCGAAGTATGGTTTCAGTAAGATGGGACAACTTACCTCCAGCAGAGGCCAAATTTTTATGGAGCTACCTCAAATCGTCTTTAACAACCGTCCTGGAACTTTGTAAGACTTGATTTTTTAACCCTGTGTTGTCTGACATGAGTAAAAATTAAAAATTCTCGACTTTTTAAAAAAATATTTGTTTTTTAACTTTATTATAGTAACTAATATACACATTATATGTCTACGTGCTACTTTTAAATTATTTCATGGTACTCCGCCCTACACTTTTTTTTTCGTTGCAACACAAGTATACATTGCATAGTGAACACTTAGAATATGGACGAGACTGAATTTTTTATGCTGCACATTGCGCAACGGCATCTGTTTGCATCAAAAGTTACCTAACGATTGCCCAGTTGACTCAATCTGACATCAGTTACAGTGGAAACGTTGCATTTTCTTTGCTTGGCAGTAGATCCAGAAGCATGATGGTTCCATGCAATTAGTCCAAGTGTGACTGAACGCTTAAATTCAAGAAGTGATACTAACAACTTCCAATATATGATGTATGCATTATAAAAGTGATATCAATTAGGCCTCAAAATAATTTGTACCACCATTTCTTAGACCTACGGGATTGACCATAGCTTGTTCTCAGTTGGTTAGCAAGATCTACTCTACCCATATTAATATTATATATTAGTCTTCTTGTACCATCTTTTTGTCTTCTTTTGACAACAGTGGTCTCGCTTCCATACAAATTTGATGCTAAATACACTGGTCCATCCATACAAAATAGCCTATATCTAGTGCACTAAATTTACTAATGTGTTCACCTCGCTTCATATCTTCACTAACTGTTGAATTTTTAAGAACACCTCCACGATTTGCACGAATGGTGCCGCACGCCAAAATTTTCTCAGCTTTTAGTTTTTCTAATAATGGCACTGATGTGAAATAATTATCAAAGTAGATAATTCTATACTTTCCTCATTCTTTCTGTGTCAATATCAAGACAACTTTTTCCCCTAAACCAAACTACTGGAACTCAGGTACTTCAACATCTTTGCCCTGATAGATTTCAAATCTGATAATTTGATCTGCAATAAACCATAACTTGTAACCCCTGGCTTCACTGGATTATATTGTTTTATTGAGGTTCGTCCTTTCAATGCTATCATAGATTCATCTACCGATAGTTTAGCATCTACCAATAGTCTGTTTGACTGTTGAGGATTCTAAATATGAGGATTTTCTGTCGAAGTGTCATAAACTTAGCCTAAACTTTCCTTGGCATTTGTTCTCCTTATTTTCTTCCATTAATTGCGGCAACTATTAATCTAGAATTAAGTAACGTTCATCAGTCACTCCTTAAATTAATTCAAAATGTGTCGTTTTTGAAGTCATTTAAAGTTTTTCATGTTACAATTAAATTTTTTTATTTCCTTTAAGGATCATCTTGCAAAAATAATCGAAGAATTTAAGTTATTTGAATTTATTATGGAATTGGCGTTTTCATTTTTATTACACACCGATTCTATTGAAGCCATCAAAACATTCTTATTATTGGAAAAAATTGCCGATAAAACTCAACGCGTTGATTACAAAATTAAAGCGATCGGCCGGATTATAAATTCAATCGATATCGATTGTGTCTTACAATTATTTAAAGAAGGAGAAACATTGATAAATAAAGTATCATACGATGAAGCGTGCGAGTTCTACACGTACGTTTCGACGTCTTATTATAACAAAGGAGACATCAAGAAGAGTCATGAATATTATTTGAAAGCAAAAAATTATTTTAAACAAACTTCAAGCTTTGGGGATAAATTTATAAATATTGAATTGGAATTTCTTGAATGGAAATTAATGAGTTTACCGGATAAAGGAGATATCTTTACTAATAACATGGAATTGATCCAAAGAAGTAGTACCATTTTTACTAAAATAAATTCAGTTTTTTGTGAACAAAGTAAGGAAAATTAATGTGGAAATGTACCTTTAAATTAATTTTTTTATTCATTTTTAGCTAATAATGTAAATCGTATAAAACTCCTTGAAATTCGTTACACATTCGAAATTAAATTACTTCATAGTTACAATATGAAATGGCCCAGAGAAGGACGTGGAGCGGCGAAATTATTGATAGATAGATGTCAAACGTATATTCTCCCATTTTATTACGCAGAAATAACCCTGTATTTAGCAAAAATGGATTTACAATGCGAAAAATTATCGGATTGTCAAGCAAAAATCGATGGTTTATCGACTTTATTGGAAATCTCCTCTGGAAATGAGGATCTTGAAAAATTAATTAAAAATTTCGATGGGATTTCTTTGGATAACAACATAACATTTAATAATAATTATAGCAAATTTACAAAGAATGGTTCACCTACTTTAAAAGTCACTAAAAAAGAATACCCACGTTTTACTTCACATCAAAATGATTGCGAATGCTTTTATTGTACATCTATTGATTACCAAAAGTTAGTATTGAATTATTTTATATTGAAAGGAACATTTTGGGCTGCACATAACGAAAAGAATACAGCTGAATATTTTTATAAAACCGCGTTAGTGATTTATAATACTTTAATCTCAAAAACAAATTATATCCTTAAACTGATTAAAATCTTCAATTATAACATTTTATTAGATTTAAAGGAGACATTTTTAGAATGTTACATCTCAATTCTTCATCACCAAGCAAAATTATCAATTGGTACCAAAAAATTTAACACAATTAACACTGAATTGATTACCTTAATACCAAAAATTAAATACAAAAACTCATTATTATACCAAGAAACTCATCAATTACAATTAAATAATCTTCTTTTATGTTATCAAAAGATAAATTCAACAACTCCAAGTAGCCCAAAAGTTTCAAGTCCCACAAATGATAATAACGCACTTGTAAAAACTCCTGAGAATAATGTTTCACAAGTAAAATTTGTTGCATCACAACGTGTATCACCGCTAACTAAAAAACGTGTAGTAAAGTCGATTCCTTTTGATTCGTCTGATGATGAAATCGGAGAAAGTTCATCAAGTACTACAACAGTATTTACTAAAAGAACGACTAAAACACCTGCTATTAAAGTTTATCAAGGTAATTCAAAAGCTAAAAGTGAGAAAAAAACTGCAAAAGCACCGAAAATCTTGGTTACTGTTCCATCAGAAGAGAATGTTAATATTGAATCTAACCACAGTAATGTATGGAAACTTAAAGACAATGATAAAACTTGTATTGATGAAAATAAAAATCCTCAAGGAAATGATTCGAAAAATATTAAAAGTAAAAATGTGAAAGATAATATTAAGGGTAACAAAGGAAGTGGAGTTGTTAAAAAAACGAATAAAACTTCTATTAGTGATAATAAGAATAATCAGGAAGGAGATTCAAGTGAAGAAATTCAAAGGAGGACTTTACGATCTGCTGTAAGAACTAAACGTAATCCTAAATGATGAAATTGTTAGTATGTTTTGTTGTTGAGGTTAAATTATTTTAACTAAAGCTCAGGATAGATTGTGCCTTCTAAAATAGTTTAATAAAAAACTTGTTTATTTTTATAGAGAATGTTCAATGTTAAATAAAAATTCGAATTCTAATGAATTTATTTAATGCTTTTTATTTAACCTAATTAAATATTTATTTTTAGTCACAATTATTTCATTTCTAATAAATTTTTTTTAATTTATTTTTGATTAAATTTTTTTATAGGGTTTTTTATGTTTTTAAGTTTAAAAAAAATCCCTGCTGTTTTCCTCTTGTTATCTGTCAAATGACGTGTACAGGTTATGTGGTGTTTATTACAAATCGGTTTTTCAAAAATGCATTAAATTTAATGTATTAACTATAATAAAGTATGAAAAATAAGCCGCTTCTAAAGAAAACGTTTGATGAATTTGAAGTAATTTTTTAGAATGGGTACATCTGTAAGCAAAAATCAAGATTTAACAACAAACGAATATTTGTTAAAATTCGTTGATAAAGATCCTATTTCACAAAATGATCCTTTTTGGAATCGTTTCTTATCGTTTAACATAAAACCTCCAACCTCAAGGTAATTAGATAATTAACCACGTTTATTTAATTTTAGAGTAATTTTATTTTTATCTTTAGTGAAGATCAATTGGCTTTAGATAATAAAACGGAACCGTTACTCCAAAAGTTATTGGTTAATAACTTACAATCAGGGAATTTTGGGGCACTTGTTAAAGTTTTTTTAACAAGATGTGGAGAATTATTAACAGCAGCCACCAATAATGAGTAAAAATAATAATAATTAAAATCGTACAATTTTTATTTCTTTTTTTTGTTAAAGCAATATATATTGTTGGCAAATTTTCAACTCCCTATTTGCAATAAGAAATATTTTAAAATATTTAACAGAAACAGTTGTTGAAGAACAATTAATTGAACACATTGAGATTAATGTAGAGGGAACATCAAGGCTCGAACAACTTCTTGGAGCTCTATATGGAATAATTGTTGATATACCACTCAAAGAATGTACATATGCTATACATTTAGAAGCAGTAACTTGTTTGATTGTATTTTTATCTGTGCAATTACACACAAATCGAAAAGCTGAGCAACTTGTTATTTATAAATTAATAATGAAAGGTCGACACGCTATTCATGCACCCTTATTCATTAAAAGTCTTATTGTGAATTTTATTGAGCAATTAAAAGCACCCCCAGGATTTAGTACAAATCAAGGAAACAGTTTAGTTTTAGGTAAATTAAATTAATTATTCCAAAAATATTTTAATTTAATTATTTTTAATTATAGGTTTAGCCGGCTTATGGTCTATTTTAACTTTGAGTAGGAGAGATGGTGATACAAGAGATAGCAATGGTAAACTTGATATATTGGAAGCTCCATTAGCAACACAAAGTTTACTTTTGATGTTAATTTTAACAAATCATTGTTCAACACAAAATAATCCTTATAGGCAATGTTTGTTTTCATGTTTAAATAGTCAGGGTAAAATTCCTACAATTATTAATTATTGCAATAATATAAAAAATTTTTAGATAATAATCCAATTCCGCCAACGAAAGCACCAAGCGTTTTTAAAATTGATTACAATCAATTATTTTTTACATTATGTAAACGTGCCAATGGCGACGCTGCTACTTTACTTTTGTACCTTTTATTACATCGAAATCCTGCTTTTAAAACGCATCTTCTCGCAAGAATCGACTTGGATCAATTGGTATGATAAATCAAAATTAAAAAAATCTTTATTTTTAATTATTTTTGTTATAGGTAATACCAGTTTTAAAAACATTGTATAATGCTCCAAATAGCAATTCACATCACATTTATATGTCTTTAATTATACTCTTGATTTTAAGTGAAGATGATGCCTTTAATAGATCAGTACATGAAACGGTAAGTTGTGTAATTATGAGAGTCTAGACTGTTTTATTATTATTATTGCTGGCGAGCTGAGGGGAGCGGCCCCTTAAACTAAAACCCTAACTTAAACTCTACAAGTGTTTAGGGCAAATGTAGATCCTTGATGAACCTTAGTATTGCTCCAAGGTCTTATTCCTTTATCGCGGTAGGTGTCAGGCGTACTTTACTGAAAGTTTTGTGTCTTAGGCGGCCTCTGGTGACGCATTCACAGAGTATATGTTCAATAAAATTGACAAGTTAATCCTTAGCTTGTTCAATGTACAGTGTGTACCCATTCGACCTGCGGATAGACGCATTAGTAACAGTTGGGCGACTGTAAGTGGGCGGAGCTTGCGCTCTCAGATATATCGAAAGCTTTAAAGATTTGAGAACGGGTGGTTTTTGTTAAGGTCGTTTTATCAATTGTTTTCACTAATAAAAAAAAATGTAAAAAAGAAGGTTTTATTCTTTACATATTTTTTTTTAATTAAAAAGAAATAAATCCCTCGAACACTGTACTAGCAATTTTCTTAGTTATGAGCATCAGATCATGTCACTGCAAAAAATTTTATAGCAACAAATTTTCATCACAACTTCATACTAATAAAGAAAAACATGAAAAGCCGAAATGAAAAAANTTTAATAGATCAGTACATGAAACGGTAAGTTGTGTAATTATCAGAGTCTAGACTGTTTTATTATTATTATTATTGCTGGCGAGCTGAGGGGAGCGGCCCCTTTCGTCACCGCGACCTATAAGATATATTGTAACTTAAACCCTACAAATATTTAGGGCAAATATAGGTCCTTGATGAACCTTAGTATTGGTATTGGTACTACAAGGTCTTATTCCTTTATCTCAGTAGGTGTCAGGCTTACTTTACTGAAAGTTTTGTGTCTTCGGCGGCCTCTGGTGACGCATTCACAGAGTATATGTTCGATAAAATTGACAAGTTAATGCTCAGCTTGTTCAATGTATAAGAGATGGTATTTTAGGGGCGCAGGGCCGGTCAGGAAGCCTGAGAGCAACCTTACATCCTCTTTGCTGAGGCATAATAATAATAAACGCCTTTATTAATAAGTCGCAAAAAGAAGAAAAAAATAATAATACATTCTTAGAAAATAGACTTATTTTCTGGACGACGTTGAGTTCGGTTATTTCACCATGCTTTTAAAACCCCATATTTATTCAAGAAAGCTCTAACTTGGTACAATTACTCTTCAGATGTTATGAAATAGATTGTCATTTGTTTTATTAGAGTATGTTATACAGGCTGGTCAAAAGTTGAATTATCGTTTCCCATATTCAATGGCAAGAAAGCTGAAAATTTTAAATTTTTTGTTTTCATTGTTTCATTTATTTGTTCTTCTGTTTGTTATTTTTGGTAAATAAAAGATAGTAAACTAAAAGATTATCAACCAAAGTTAATTATAAAAATAAATTAAACGAAAAACTGTCAAAATATCATGGCCTAATAAAAATATAACCGGATTCCGGCATTTCCCGACAAATTCCCTTTCTGGTGAACCAATAAAATATGGGGCGTACCATTTAAAATTTTCGACTTTCTTGCCTTTGAATACGGAAATAAGGTAATTCACTTTTTGACCATCCTGTATAAGATACTGTGATACAGCAAATGGGAATCTATTTGACAGCATTTGAAGAGTAATCGTGCCAATTTAGAGCTTTTTTGAATGAACGTTTGCTAAAATATGAAGTTTTAAAGAGCATCGTGAAAATTGCCAAGAAAACTTTAAAATCAAAATAATTCGAAAACGAAAAACGCTAGGTATCAATAACTTTTATCAAAGTCAACTTATTTTTTCGCATATAATTAAAAGATGCAATAAAAACTATAGCATTCCATTTAAAATAACGAAGTTGGGGTGTACTTCCGGGGGACCGGAAGTGGCCACCATCTTGAAAATACTTTAGATCGAACGATCGGTATGAACCTCCCATATAAACTAAATTTCAGAAACGTAGATTCAATGGAACAGAAATGAAACGGGTGTATGAAACTAAAATGAAAATCTTTTTAATAATTGTAATAAAAACAAAATGAAAATAATATCAAAATACGACGACATGCCAGTATAAAGCGATGCTAACAAAGAAATATTAGTAGCTCCCACCCCTTAAGTACCTGGCCACATGCTCCTCAAATCTCAACTCAATGGTACAATGGTCCAATGTAACTCCCAAAATTTTTATATCATCAGAAACAGTAAGAACTTCGTCATGCACCATCAATTAACCGGAAATTAAAGGTTTAATTGCTCTCCTTGTGACACTACCGCAAAACAGAAGTAGAAAAGACTTAGATGCATTAAGCACGAGTTCATGGCGTTTTGCAACATAGAAAATAATGCTACATCTGACGATGAGTTAAATTTTATGCAGGCATCATTCCAATTATTTAGATTAAAATTCAGTAAAGCTGTGTATCATCTGCATACAAATGAATCTGCGAATGCTCTAGAACTTGGTTAAAATCAGATGTATAAGTAGAGACAATACTGGCCCCAAAATGGACTCCTGAGGGACTCCACGAGTAACAGACAAAGCGCTCGACATCTGACTATAAACCTTTACAACCTCTCCGACAAAAACGACTTTATCAAAATTAAAGCCTGATCTCCAAGACCAAAATAATGAAGTTTAGGTGCAAGTATATTATGATTTATTGTATCAAATGATTTGGTGAAGTCCAACGATAACAAAAGTCCGGCTTGCCCGGCTTCTCTAGAAGCAAATACCTCATCAGTAAGGTTGTTCAGCTGTTGCGCAGCTGAAACCCAAATTGTTGATCAGGCAGTATATTATTATTTCCGCAGTGTGCTCTAAGTTGCCTTTCTAAGACCTCTCTCTAAAATTTTTGACATTACTGGCAGGATACTAAAATCCCTTAGAAGCGAAGACACTTTAAGTAACGCAATTACTTCAGCCATCTTCCAGGCATCCGGAAAAACTGATTGACGAATAGCAGCGTTTATTACGTGAGTAATATAAGGAATGAGAAAAGGAGTACACAAGTCAATCATCAGAACCCACCGCTGCAGTTTTGATGTTATTAATTGTTATAGATACTTCATGTTCATCAACGGGCATAAAAGCTTGCATTATCAGCACTAATACATTAACAGCATAACATCTCTTTTGGTTTTATTATGCTGAGTTATCATGCTCTTCGCTTGTCTGTGACCTGGAAGTTCTTTCCAGTGTAGGGCTACTTTTTAGGCCTCCCAACTATTGATTACCTGTTTTAAGTGTCTTTTTTGTAGTCCATAACCGGATTGGGGTCTAATAAAGGGCTGCCGCTGTGACCAGCTTGTCCGCCTTGTCATAACTTGGAACCATACCTTTAGGTTCCAAGTCCTAATTGCTTTTAGGACGGCCCGACTGTCTGTCAAAATGTTTATGGGTGAACCTTTCTGTCCCTGGTTTCCACTCTTTATCTTGTCTAAACACTACTTTATCTCCATTTCTGAAATCGTTTCATTTTTCAGGGTCTGTCAATAATTGGTAGTTTTGTTTTCAGTTTCCTAGAGAATAATTATTCTGCAGGGCTTCTTTTTAATCCGGTTATTGCAGTATTTCTATATTCTACAAGTGCTACATCTAAATTTTTAGATTTACGCAATATGTTTTTCGCTGTTTGAACAAATCTTTATTCTGTTGTCTTAGTTTCAAACCCAAACTCTTTCGCAAAGTTTTTAAATTGACATGCCATATAGTTCGTATATGGCATGTTGTCTGAAATAACCAAATCTGGTACACCGTGTGTTGCAAATACTCGCAAATACTCTCAAATAACTGCTTTGTTTACCCTGAAGGTACAATTTATAGCGATTTTTTCAAATAATCCACTATTACCAAAAACAGTTTGATTCCAAAATCAAGAATATCTAATAACGTAATTTTTGAAATGGTAATTCCGGGACTTCATGCATTATCATTGGTTCCTTTCTATTAGCATATCGATACTTTTCACATACTGAGCATTTCTCTATTAATTCCTTTATTTCATTGGTCATTCCAGGCCAAAACAACATCTGTCGAGTTCTATCTATTGTATGATATATACCAAAAGGGCCCTCATGTAAGATTTTCAACATTAATTAATGTTTTCGTTATTGTACTGCGATTCTATCACTGTAATTCCATTACAAACATCTAAGTCATTTCTAATTTTCGGACATCTTTAGTTCCAAGAATGATTCTATCAACAATTTCTGATTCTTCCTGATCTTCATATGCGCAAGACTGAACCAATTTCTTTAAATCTCCTAGAAAACTATTAAACGTGCACAATGCTAATATTAATTATAATCTTTCGTGGAGCACAGTACTTTCTGAATTTATCTACCACAACAGTGTATTTATTTTTTTCCTCCAACGGGTATATTTTGGAAAAACAATTGAATACCTCAGTAACTGTTAACATTGTGAGTTAGCAACATATATGATTGGATAACCAAATTTAGTTATATTCACAATATGATAAAATACACGGCAGCAAATTGTATAAAAGGTAATATACGAATTTTTCTTTCAGAAATTAAAATCAATATCATGGTATAATGAAAGAAATTTATCCGAAGTTTCATTAGGAGGTCTACTTGTATTAGTAGTAATAAGAACGATACAATATAACATGTTAAAAATGCGTGATAAATATCTCCATACAAATTGTTTGGCGGCATTAGCAAACATGTCCGCACAATTCCGTGATTTACATCCTTATGTAAGCCAAAGATTAGTTTCGTTATTTGAGACGTTAGCGAAAAAATATCAAAAACTTTCACTAAGATTGAAAGAAAATCACCATAACGAAACGACGATTAATATTTCTATGGATGATGGTGGAGAAGCTGAACAAGACCTTTCCGTATTAGAGGAAGTAATAAGAATGGTTTTGGAAATTTTTAATTCTTGTTTAACAAATCAATTGTCGAATAATCCAAATTTGGTTTATACATTGTTGTATAAAAAAGATATTTTTGAGCCGTTTAAAAAAAATCCAGCTTTTCAAGATATCGTTCAAAACATTGAGACGGTTATTGAGTATTTTTCGAAATTATTGCAAACGAAAGCGCAACAAAATGAGGTTGATGCTGGGCAGGTTCTTTTAACGATACAACAAGGAACTAAACAATGGCCTAAAGAAAAATTGACGGTAATGTTTTATAAATATTATAAAAATTTTGTTTTAATTTTTTTTTTTTAGAAATTTCCTGAATTAAAATTTAAATATGTTGAAGAAGATCAACCGGAAGAATTTTTTATACCGTACGTTTGGGCTTTGGTCAGTGAGCAATCTATGTTGAATTGGTGTACAGAAGGATCGTCAATTTTAAATGTGTCTTGTTAAGTGTATGATGACAATATCTGATAACATAAATAAGGAATTGTGATAATGTAAAGATTTTTTTTTGTATTTGTCTCCTAAAAATTAAATTAAACTAAACAATTATGTAATAATAGTAGGATATTAAGTAGTTAATATAATTTTTCTTTTAATTTATTTTGTTAGTTGATTTAATTATTCTATAATACAAACATTTTTTTTAAACAGTCTTTTTTTTTCACGAAATTTATATACTATTAATTATTAATCCTCCAACATTGACAGTTGTCACAATTAGTTATAGATTGTCGAAATTATTAACGTTTTCCTAATATATTTTATAATAAAACTATGGTTTTAACCGTTTTAAAATGTTTCAATAAAACGCTAATGAAACCACCGTTCTTACCAATTTGGAAAAGAAGATTTCTTTCAACAGAAAAATTAGATGATAAATTACACTGGTAATTAATGAATTTTAATTTTTCTTAACATAATTTTGATCTTTTAGTTGTAAAATATTAGTCGTTGGTGGAGGAACCGGAGGTTGTGCAGTTGCGGCAAAATTCGCCAAAAATTTTATAAAATGCGACATTATAGTGTTAGAACCAAGCGATATCCATTATTATCAACCGTCGTATTCATTAATTGGCGCCGGAGTAACAACATTAAGAAATAGTCTTAAACCAACCATCGCAGCTTTACCTGAAAATGTAACTTGGTTTAAAGATTCGGCTGAATTTTTTTGCCCGTTTGAATGTAGTGTTGTAACAAAAACGAAAAAAATTATTAAATATGAATATATGATTATTTCAACAGGAATGGAATTCGATTTTGATAAGGTTAAATTGATTTATTGTTTATAATAAAAATAAAATTTGATTTCATATTTGTAGATTAAAGGATTAAAGGAAGCATTAGATAAATATGATAATGTCGTTACAATTGCGTCACCTCAATATGCTGAAAAAACTTATTGTGGTTTGAATAAATTTTCATGTGGAATTGCCGTCTTTACGCATCCAAAAGAACTTTCCAAGTATAATTCATTGAATATGTGTTTTTTAGCTGAACATTATTGGAGAATGGTTGGTTTAATTCAATTTTTTTTAGATTTTGAACACTGTTTTCTTCACATTCCAACGCCCAAGGTGGTGGAAATAACAAATTACTGTTCTAACAAATGTGATTGAATTCACTTTTAAAGTTATTCCGAGAAATATTTATCACGAGTTTATCTTGCGACTGTTGAATCGCTCCTAAATTTTGTAATTCATTCATCTTGTGAAAGGTTTGTTTCTCAAAGTTTAAACCTGTCCAATTCCTGATATTCCGCATCCATGACAGTTTCTTCCTACCAAGTCCACGTTTCCTCTCTATCTTTCCCTGAATTATAAGTTGCAACAGAGACATGTCCAAGTCTACCTCGTTTTCACTATGTGAAGTAGCTCCCTATCCTTATTCAACCTTCTCAGCACTTCCTCGTTGCTCATGTGCGACATTTGAAATGCTTCTATACGATTCATACTGACAGTGTTCAGAGTCCAAGTTTCCACACCGTATAGTAGAGGTGACCATGCATAACACTTTGTGAGCCTCAGCCGTATAGCGACATCCAATCGTTCATTTGCTCCACTCTAGATCTTACTTCAATGTCATATTAAATAAGAAATAAAAAAAGGATATTACATTCATCCCTGGCTTTTAAACTATTTTTAAAGTTATGATAAAAACGAAAACTCTTTTCAATTCCTGTATAATTAATTATTGAGTAATAATGACTATTTTTTTTAGAATGGAAAACTATGCGGTACTAAAATATTTTATTTAACAGCCGCATGTGAAATATTTCCGGTTAATAAATATGCAACAAGTGTTAATAAATTAGTAAAAAAGAAGAATATTGTAGCGTGTTTAGAAAGAAATCTAATTGAAATTAATCCTAAAGATAAAACAGCTACTTTTGAAGAAGTCCAAAACCCAAAAGAAAGAAGTTGTATGAAGGTATTTAATTTTTTTTAACATTAAAATCGTGTATTTCGAACACTACTTTATCTTTATCGATGCGAAAACAGAATAGCTTCTTCTAATATTTATAATTTTGATTTGAAATGTTTCTAGTACGATTTTTTACATGTAACCCCTCCAATGAAACCAGTGGAAGCAATAAAAAAATCAAAAGAAATATCAAACGAACATGGTTTTGTTGATGTTAACAAAGGAACTTTACAGCATAATACATTTCAAAATATTTTCGCTTTAGGAGATTGCGCATCTTTACCAACATCGAAAACAGTTTTTGCCACAAGTATTTCTTACACAATAAAAGATAGTTTTTAATACACCCAAAATTTTTTATTAGACGCTCAAGCTATTGTTGTACATAAAAATTTGACGTCATATATGACCGGAAGAAAATTAAAAGCTTGTTACGACGGTTATGCAGCTTCTCCAATCATAACGGGATACGGAACGTGTATTTTGGCGGAGTACGATTATAAACTGCATTCGAAAGAAACATTGCCGATTCGGCAAGAACGCGAAAGTAAATTTGCTTATTATATTAGAAAAGATTTGTTGCCAAAATTGTATTGGAATTGGTTGCTGACTGGAAAGTATCCGAGAACCGCAGGATTTGGAAAGTTATTTTCTTGGTATAAAAAAAAATAAAGCTGAAAAATTAAAATTAAATTAAATAAATCTAAAATTAATCCTGGTTTTGTATCAATAAAGTAATAATAGTATAAAGTTGTTTATACTTTACTTTTTGTTTACTTTGGTTACTGTCTGAAGGCTTTGTCTACTCTTAATGCAAAATCAATAAATCTAAAAAAAAATTGAATTATTTTCGTTTTTTTTTGTATCGGTTTTCTTACTTGGTTTGCTCTGAAACATTTTTAACATATCTATAAGGTGGATACCACCAAAGTTCTCCTTCTAAAGCAGGATCACCAGTCCACCATCCAGGTTGCATAGAAGTACAACCAGCGTAATTATACATTTCCAAGGGACCAACAGGTTTAAAATTACCCTTTTTTCGCATTCTTGCCAAACGATCATACGATCTATAAGCATAACCGTCAACTTTTCCAACATAACAATCAATTTCAGAGATTATTTCATAAAAAGGCTTCCGTAATTTTCCTAAAACATAAAAACAATACCATTTGATTTAGTAAACTCAGACCACACGCTGTTATTATCAACCAAGCGAATGTGATGAATGAATATTATAATGGAGAGGGAATCATTTTCTAAAATACCTTGTTTTTCCATTTCAATCAAATCTCCTTGTACTTGAGGCTCCACATAATCTTTACGAATCATATCTTTTATTGGATCAGTAACTCCAAAAATGGTTACTCCATAAGTATCCATTTTTGAACCTTATCTAGTCTTTCTTAACTCAAAGTTTTTTTTTAATACAAAAATAATAAATGTAAAAAGTAATATTTTGACGGATTAAAAAAAAGGATTACTTTGATTAGAATCGCAACAATTAAAAAAAAATTATCCTTTTTGTGGCTCGTTTGTTATTTTGAAAGGTGAATGAAATATGTTAAGGCGAAAAGTTAAATTTAGATATTGAACAATTTAAATAATCAAGATTTAAATAAATACAATAATACTTCAAATTTCTTTATTAACTTATTAACCACCACGATTTATGGAATTTAAAATATCTGATTATAAAATTGAACTTTATCAGATTTCTAAGTAAATTTTATTCTGAATCTTGGAAGTATCTTGTTTCCGTGCCCCCACTACCAAAACATTAAAAGAACGCGGAGAAAGGATTAATGCTGCAGTGATAACAATGGACAGAATGATGTTATAAAATGTGTGTGTAACAAACCGCATTTTAGGATTCGGTTAAATATAAGTTAAATTGTAGGAAACATTGTAAAGGTATAACTTTGTAATTTAATTACAAAGTTGTACCGTGAGAACAGTTTAAATATTGCGTAGGTTGTAATGATATAAATATTCTCCAGTGGGAATTGCTGAGGTGGTGGTTTTGAGTGGACGGAGCAGGAAAGGAATTAAGAAAAAAAAAGAGCATTGAAAGTAGAAGAATCGGGCGATACCGTTTAATAAAAGTAAATAAGATAAATGGTAGTTTTTTGTTTTAGTTCGTGGCGCGCGAACATAGTTTCAGTTATTAATTTAGGCAATTTATTTTATTGGGATTTTTGGATATTAAGTTTCCTAATGGGTGAGCGTTATTAAATTCCCTGTTGTCTAATATTTTTATGCACCAGCTAACTATCTCAGCAATTTCTAGATCGAAACAAATATCCAGATTTGCAATTTTGTAGTTTTATATATAACTTTTTTGCTACAAATTTTAATAATTTTTGTAATTCACTAATAACATTTCTACTTATTATTAAAGTAAATTTGTTTATATCAGTAAAGTTTTAGTTTCTTTCCGTTTTCCAATTTTTTCTTCATATTATTGCTGTTCGTTTTCAAGCGAACGCATGCAGTGTGCCAAGCCCTAAACCTTGTCACTACCAGCAATCAATAAAAAGGGTGTCGTGACATGTGGATCGAATTGAACTATCGTCTAAGTCTAGATATATGTCATATGAGTCAGGGGTATACATAAAACATTTGTAGGTGTAAGAGTTTTGAAAGTATTGCGTTAACTTAAATGCTAGAGGCATCAAATCTGTAGGTTTATTCACTTCAGAAGATAATTTTTAGCAGACTAAGTTCTGTATTGGATGAAAAACAAGTAATTCCTAATATGCAATGTAGTTGTCAGAGGAATCATTTCATGATGCGCCAGAAAATATTGAAATGCTACTTGGAAACTAAATATATTAGAACTGGTGCTTCTCTGAAACTAGTGCATCAATAGCAATGTGTGCAGATGACCTAATTAATAAGAACCATAACTTGGAAATCTGAATTAATCAACTTCAGTCATTCACAAATATAATTCCTATCTGATAAAAATGGTATCTGGACTTGAATGTAAAGCAAAAATTTTCTCAAATCTCGTAATCAAAATTAAGGATGAACCTCTGCCATGGAAAACTGACCCAGTTAAGTAGCTGGGTGTACATCTGGACACGCGATTAAGCTGGAAATATTATGTAAGAACATGGGCCGCAACAAGCTCTCAAAGAATAATTAAACTGTATCCGCTTATCAATAGAAACTCATCATTAAAAACAACATGTATAATTGTATACAATTATGCATGCGGAATATGGGGTAACAACTCAAAAAATAACATACAAAGAATGCAAGTTGAACTTGACCAAGTGTGCTACAAGACTAAGACCCAGTTAAGTACGTTTTCAGATCCATGAGAGTTCATTATTATCGGAGTATGTTGTACTTATTTTAATTGTGTAACAGAATCTTCTTACAAAACCTGTTTGTTTGTTTACGCTATTATTATGGCAAGTTGTTCTTCTAGAAATGTAGTTTCACAATAATTCGTATTAATTTTTGAAATTCAGTCTTTTATAACTGATAAAATTGTATTAACCGAATTGTATTATTCACCAAAAGCTTTTTTTATCTATATTAATTTTGTAACTCCATTGCCTTTGTTTTTCCTCCTGCAAAAAAATTCTACTATTAATCAAAAATATTATCTACAGTGAATTTCACTTAACATGCAATATACAACCATATACAGGTGTATCATCTAAATTGATGCGAAAGATTTTAAGGGATGATTTTTCAGCGAAAATTAAATCCTCTAAAATTAGGGGAAAAAATTGTTTTTCTTTAATAAATCCACTATGGAGAAATTCCGCAAATAACTATTACTAATAGGGTGACATTTTTTGACAATTTTTATAACCCTAATATGTTTTTACAAGAGGCTGAAAAAATCAACCCCATAATACTTTGCATTAGAACTTTTTAATACGTCTACATTTTTCTATTTAAAAACTTGATTTAAATAATGGGATTCAATACGCAACTTTTCTGTCTCTTGACATTTTCTGCTAAAATTGTTAGTTTGATCACAAAAAAATAAAATAATACACAGACTCAGGTGAATTAATTCAGAGATTGGTTATTATTAGTCAAAGAAATGAAGTTATGTCAAATTGATCTCAGCATTATTTTATTTTTTGTGATCAAACTAACAATTTGTTAGTTGTAAAATGTCAAGAGATAAGAAAGTTGCAGATTTTTACCCTTAACTTCAGAGGGCTATAACTTGGAGGAGAAGAGGTTTTGAACAAAAAGTTATATGAAAATCACCCCTTAAAATCCTTCGCATCAATTTAGATACACCTGTATATGTATTTCCATAGAAACCAGAGCGTACCTACTACTTACATACTTTATCTCACGTAAAATGCATCATGTCAATATAATTTGACAATACAGTAAAACTTCGATATAATGGATCAATACGGCGAACGCAGTGTCCGTTATAGTTGAAGAAAAATATGCAACAATCTGGCGCTGAATAACAAATAAAACTAGACTAACCCTTGGACTAGAACTAACATTAGACCTAGAACTAGAAACATTCTGGCGTCTCTTAAGACAGAAACTCAGAGTTATCATAAGGACGTCACCTTTTCCAAGCAAAACTTTTTCTTTGCAAAATTACTATGTTAAACTATGTTGCATTTTATGTGGAATAGTGCAAGTGCATAGTAGTGTTGTAACTACTGCATTCATATATTGCGAGTTATATGAAATTCTAGGTATAAAGTCCGTATAACAGAAATTAATACCTTAACATACTTCATTTTCTAAATTAAAGTGATTCTCCTTCGTCTGATGACAATGTGTGGTCGCTACAAATAAATCGTGTTTATTATGGAACAGCTTAAAAAAGGCAACATATTTGAGGAATTAATTAGAAATTAAACAAAAACAATTCTCTTGTACGTTTTTATTACCCAAGTTAAAACTTAATGGGAGTTTTTTTTTAACTTTTTTTCGAATACAGTCTTAAAGCTCCGAGACAATTTAATTAATTTTTTATGTTATTTTCGATTCCGTATTTTTTTTTGTTAAACTACACAAACAAAATGCACTAATTAAAAAGAAATACACTACATATTAAAAAAATTACATGTGAACGAATTTTATGTGTAACAATTAACTTAATAGCTACTTTGAACAAAATATTAAAATCACTAACCCTTAATAATTCACACTTTAACCCTTTTATCGTATTGTACGTGAAAACCTCCATATGACAATAACTCTACTTGTGACTCAAAATTAATTTGAAAAGATTGATTTCAAAGTGTCTTTTTTATTATTTTTTTTTCTAATTTAATTGAATCTAGCTAGAAATTTGTATAAAAATTTGAATGTTAAAGGGTTAACGAGAACGGTTTATGTTAATAAAAACTAAACAAAGAAAACTAAAAACGTTTTTTTTTCTTTTTCGTTTTACGCGTTGATTATAATACGAAGAGAGACTATTTACAACAATGATTTTTTTTATACCTTTTATAAGATAAAATAACGCAAGTTTAAAAGTCAATAAGTTAAGAAACATCAAATTGTTTAAAAAAATTACAGAATTAATACTACATAATTACTTAATCGTACATTACATAATTAAAAAGAATTACATTAAAAAAATAAAATATCTTTTAATAATTTCAAAACACACACGAATATTTGCACCAATTCAATTAAAATACAAAAAGGGAGATCTTCAAAATTTGTTTAAAAAATTTAATCATAAAATTATTAACACCATAAATTAATTACGATCTTAAATTAATTATAATCGGTACTAAACCGATCATCGTGTTCCCACCCTTTCCGATAATTTTTCGTTGAAGGCTTTTTCTCCCTCCAAAATGAACCGCTTTTGTCGCCACCATTACCTCTCCACACTCCACCATCTCCATCTTTATTTAAACCCCTCCATTCACCACCACCTCCGTCTTTATTTAAACCTCTCCATTCTCCCCCACATCCATCCTTACTTAAACCTTTCCAATTTCCCCCACCATCTTTATCTTTATTTTTCAACCGCGCGCCAGACCCCAAAATTGGCCTCCCCGTTTTCTCGGTACGATTATTATTCGGTTTATCTTTATTTTCGTCCCAATTCACATACGAATTAATCTCATTTGAATTAAAATTATTCGACGATGAATAATTTTGAGCCGACTTATTTTGATGTGAATTTGAACTTAAAGAGTTTTGTTGTTGTTGAACTAAATGTTGTTGATTTTGCTTTTGGCTTGATTGTTGAGATTGAGAATGAGATTGTGAATGGGATTGTGAATGGGATTCTTGGTGAGATTGGCTTTGCTGTTGTTGATTTGGTTGAAGTTCCTGATTTTGTTGTTGATTTTGAATTTGATCGTTTATTGGGGAAGAAGGTTCCGGGGGAGAAACTTGCAGAACGTTTACTGAACTTTGATAACCGTCCAGCGTTTTGTTGGATTGTTGGGTTTGAATGCTTAGTGCTCCTAATACGCCCTGTTGATAATCATTTGATTTGACTTGGTAAATTTACCAAGACACAACACACAAAAAAAAACGAAAACTAAAATCAAAATCATTCCATCTATCTACAGTGGCAGACATACAGCATTGAATTATGAGGTTTTTGTACAACGTAATAAGATAACAGAAAATTAGTATTACAATGTGATTAGAGATACTTATTCACAAAAAGGAACAAAACAACAAATGCTCTGATCACTGCAGCGTGTCCTTCCAGTGTAAATTGAGCTAGATGCGTTAGATGCCAATGAGTCATGGAAAGATGTTGTTTTATATCGCATGATGATTTGATTGCTAATCAACAGTTTGATAAATTTCATGAACTTATCCTGCATGCATTTCATAGTGCATTTCCGGATAAAAATATTTGTGCAAAGTAATAAGAAATGCACAAGCTGGTATTCTGCAGATCTCAAGGGCATGAGGAATCGCCTGCATTTCTTAAGAGATATTCACAATGCCACAGGTTGTGAGAAACTAAAGCGAGAACTTAACTTTCTAACAAAAAATTATAGAGACAAGATAAAGGATGCTAAAGTTAGATATAATAATGAGATTTTAAAATATTCATGTAAGTATATGTGGAAAATAATGAACAGTCATCGAATAAGCAAGAAAAGTAATATGTACTAAAGCAATGTTTGACCCAAATGAAGTAAATGATTACTTTATAAATGTTCCCTTAGATCTTGTTAATAAAATTCGGCTAGGTAACTTGACAACTAACTTTAATCAGTTGCTATCGAATATGTATTACCTGGGAAATTCTGCCTGGAGTCGGTTGGTTTAATTGAGGTTCGTGATATAATCTGTTCTTTAAAAAAATACTTCTTCTAGGGATGTATACGGATTAAATGCTATAATATTAAAGCTGATAAAAGATGTAATATCATCGCCTTTAACAAAATTAATCAACCAATGCATGAGAGAAAATAGTTGTCCAAATACTTTAAAGTTAGCGTTGTAATAGAAAATTATCGACCAATCTCACTCCTGCCTGTATTCTCTAACATTTTTGAAAAAATCATAAAGAAAAGACAATTACGTTCTCCGACCTCAGTCAGGCCTTTGATTGTGTGAATCATAATTTTTTAATAAAGAAGCTGAGTAGATATAACTTTGGTGAAAGTAGTATTAAAATGATTCAATCGTACCTTGGTGGCAGAAGACAAATAGTCTGTTGTGGTCTCTGCTTTTCCTCATTTACATAAATGACTTGCCTGCTTCAATATCTAAGTCTTGAATCATATTCTATGCTGACGACACTACTTTAATTGATGTTGTTGTAGCAAATCGGGCATCACGCTCTGAGACTGAGGACTTACACAACAATGTAGATAAATATGCTGCCCATAGAGATATACAGCTACAGAACCCATAACAATCATAAGCTAAAACCTAAATTTTGCAGATTGTCTAAGTAACAGAAAGGTGTAGATTTTACTGCGCTCAAATTTTACAATAAATTACCTTTAACGGTTACACTTTTACTTGTGAGCAAGTTTGCAATATTGATAAAGTAATTTCTGCTGTTGAGAGGTTTCTATTCGTATTTGGAGTTCCTTGAATATGAATTTTTTGAGTGATTTTGTCGTGACAACATCAAATCGTGAAGGAAAGTTTTTTCTATATGACGAGTGTAAAAAATGTATATTTTGGATGCACAAATAAATATTGTTATTAATTCTAGTCGAAGATGATGATTCTTTTATGAAATCTGCGGTTTTCTTCAGGTTGTCCTGCTGAAAAATCCGTTATGGCTCTTTGGATGAACAGACTTATTAGATACAGTCGTGATCTGGTCAGTTAATTTTGATGCGCTAACTCTATGGTTTTTGTTCACATCTTTTAATGTGAAGCTAATATCTCTTCTAGAAAGTTTCTTTGGCCGGCCTGTATGAACTTTGCTAGCGAATGAATCAGTCTCATTGTAATTTTTGACGATGGTCTGGAATGTTGCTTGGCTTAGATTAACATCAGAAGTTTCTTTGCGCGATGAGATTTTGCAGCCAGTTAGAACAGTGACAAAACACAAACTAAATACTAATAACTAGACCCGCAATCCCTACTGAATTAAGAAAAAGAAAATATAATTTCTCTCTAATTTTTCTTAATGATTTGTATAACTCAATTTTATTATGTAGCTATTGACCAATTTGTTTTCTTTTTTTGTGAATAATTATCTCTAATGATAATCACATTGTAAATACAAATTTTTTATTATCTTATTATGTTTTACAAAAACCTCATAAGTCAATGCTGTATGTAGACTTTTCTTCAACACTGTAAAATGATGTTTAGAAAGATGGAAATGTCATTTTGACGTGTGGAGTATGTTTTCTAATCCAATACAATGTCATAATAAGTTAAATAACGTCATATTAAAAATTGAACTATAAAGTATTTATAATATAGTATCACTTTAAAAACTAAAAACGTTATTTATAAGTTTGACAGTTAATACTCATACACTATGACATTTAAAATCATGTCATTTTTGACATTAAAGATGTAAAAAGAAAAAATAAATAAATAAAAAACCAAGATTTTGATAATTTTCTATTAATTAAAATCCTGATTTTTTCCAATCATGCTAAATAAATCATATAAATAAAAGCATAAACTACATGAAACAAGAAGTACTAAATAAAATATTTGGAAGGTGTTTTTCAAACCTTTCCTCTATTGCGTTTATATGCATATAAAACAGCTCTAAAATAATCACTAACCTGAAATTGAGCCATAACTTGTTCTCCAAGTTGTTCTTGATAAAAACTATGAACATCTGCTGGTATTAAACTGTAACGATTATCGGCGATTTCAATAGCTAATAATAAATAAAGTCTACAAGTTTTTGTTAATTCCCCATTTGTAATCAAAACCTTTCTAACTTTATTCATGACATCATTTAATTGTTGTTGAAAACTGTTTTTTATTGCAGATCCTGTTAAATATAACTAAAAATATCCCCAAATCATTAATTATGTCAATCAAATTAAAATTGAAAGATATTTTTTTTTCTAATTTGGTTGACAATGTAACTTACTTGTGAAGCAAATAATTCCAGATCGGCAGGTTGAACAGAATCCAAAAGCATTTCAAAGTAACAAAGTAATGGACTAACAAGAACATTAATCGGTTGGCCGTTTATAAGTTTAGCCCTGTTAAAATATTCCCCCAACATTTTAACTGCATTTCGAAATTTGGTTGGATTCCCTGATTGAAGCTGTTTACCATCTGTTGATATAAAACAAAGAAAAATTGGATTAAAAAAATGAGATTTAAATCCAAAATGGATTTTATATCTCACTATCGTAAGTATTTTGCATTTGTCTTATAAATAACGGTCTTAAATATTCTCCTGATATCGGTGTTGTCATAAACGTATAAGACGAGATCATTATCACAACCTTCAAAACTAAATTTTCTTCTTCCAAACATTTATTGTAAAGATATTGAAAGCTTTCACTATAACAACAAAATTATATCAACAAAATCGAATATTAAAAAGTATTAATTTACTTACACAACTTCATTACTCGACGAACAATCTCTTTCCCATACTTCAATAATAGCTTTTAATTTTTGATTTAACAAAATCCCATCATCGTTAACGCTTATTTGACTTATAAGTGAGATTAAATTAACGTATTGTTGTACCGGGGGTGTTGTTAAAATGCCTGGTTTGGACCACTGATGCTCGTTGTTTATTGTATCTTGAGGGCTGAGTGGATGTCCTGGTCTATTTCTGTTCTCTTTCGTTAAATTTAGCCAACCTCTACCACGTCCAACACCACTCGAGCCCATTGTAATAATAATCAAGTATTTATTAAGTTAATGGTATTTATTATTTCATGTGGTTGAATGGGGAATAATTTTTTTTTTCGTTTCAAAAAATAACCTCACTTATATTGGGAAAGCTGTCATTTTTGAGAGTCGGTTTAGGATAAATGGACAAATTGTGTTTATTAATTTATTTTTATTTGTTAGATGTAGTTTTAATTAAATCGTTAATTTCGCTTGGTTATAGTTTAGTTTAACTTTTAAAATTGGTGTTGATTTGCCGAATAGGTGTTATGGTTTGTAGAGGAAATGAATTGGTGGTTATAAAAAGAATCAAATTTTTTATACATGTAATTTCTGATTATTGATGAAATTTTGTCTGATGTATTTTTAGATTAGTGTTAATTTAAGAGTGATATGAAATGTAATAAATTAAAGTTAAGAAATAAAAATGTTTGAATGATTGGGTACATTCGGTGTAAAAACGATCAGTTTCCATAAGCGGCCATTTGCAGGACGTACTCATTTCATATTCGTAAACTTCTTTCGAACAGTCGCTAGATTTCTGTCGTAGAGAGTACCTGGGTTGTCAATTGAGGAGGCGGTTTACGAATACGGTACGTAACCGACTTAAATTTTAATCCTTTATTAATATGAAAAGAGTAAAAGACAACACCTATATCGTATTGTCAACGTTTAATTAATTAATCCATGCGATTTTAGACCACGCGTTTTCTGCCATGAAATTGGATCTCGTCTCCGACTTCTAAAGCCCCTTATTATTAACTGTTTCAGTTTTTCGACGTATTCTTTTAAGGTATGTAGGTTGTTGCTTTATTTTTATTTTTCAAGTTTCAATAGTGTGGTGTCTTTAAATCGAGTTCGCGACGGGATAAGAATTTTAATTTCTTTTTTTTGTAATCATAATATAATCGGTTTCTATAGAATTTCAAAACAACGATTGCTGTTTGAGAAAAACTGATATAAAGTTTTAAGTGACTGTAATGTTGTGGTGTTGAAGTTATTTATTTTATTTTTATTGTTTAAATCATTGTTTGAGTGAAACTTAAGTGCTGTGTTGTTGACTTGTTGTTAAATTTTGTGGATAATAAGTCGTATATCAAAAAATTTATGAAGTTTTGTCATAAATCATGTTAAATCAAGATTAAAAACTAAACAAAATATGTGAGGTTATGTTTTACTTGAGTTTTAAACTTTTATTATCGTATTAATACTATTCAACAAAATATAACCATATTTTTGTTTATGGTTCCTTTTGTAGGAATGTTAAAAGTCAAGGAAAATTATTATTGGAAAAGCTTTATTTTTTTTATTATACTTCCAATGTCCTATAAATGGTCTTTTTGGATGTCAAGGTCATCAAAGAATCTTACTCATCAAAAAATTTTGTACACACTACTAAAAATATAACTGTAATATATAATTGCATACATATGTACTTGTCAGCACAAAGTCTCATAAATCTTAAGTAATGTGCTTATGAACAAACACTTAGGCTATGTATACACAGTTCACTTTCAGTCTATCAATAGTTTAGTCAGTGGATATAAATATATTAAGTTTAATCTAAAAATCGAGTTGATATGCAGTTGTGTTGTGTATGCACATACATTAAACTTAATATATTTATGTGCATTGACTAAGCTATCATGCCTAGCCTTAAGGTACAAATCCAAGACAGGCTGGTTATCATGGAGATACATGTACCTATCTATACATTCTGGCGGTAAGTGTTTGTTTGTAAGCACATTTATTAAGATTTGAGAGATTTGATGACAAGTATGTATGCAATTATATATTACACAATATGCAAAATCCGTATTCGAACACCCATCAAAAAATTAGAAAATTACGAATTACTCAAGAAATTGCAAATATTTTTGATGATTTATTTCACTTAGAAGAGTAAAAGCAAAACTGACTCCAAGCAAAACTTGGACAGTAGAGTAATAATACTTTCTTACTAAAAATATTCAAACTAAAACTGCTAGGGAATAAAAGTAAATTGATTTTCAGTAATTTATTAATTGCATATTCAAAAAACAAACACAAAATACAAAAATTTATTCACTGTAATAAAAAAATATAAAAATAAACGAAAACAGTACAAAAACTCGGACAATAACCAATTAAGCGCTAAATTAACGCAGCCATAAGTAAAAATTACAAACAATTTCATGTAGAAGCTTTGACAGCTGAAAAGGGTAATTCCCTAATTGACTTTTTGATAAATGTCTAGACAAAGAGGCCAAACAACTCTTGAAATTAGAAAATTAGTGCTTAAACATTACCAGGAAGAAAAATCGGTACGAGAAATTGAAAAAATTGTAGACTGAAGCTATTATTACGGTGCACGATATAATAAAGCGCTTCAGTATAAAAAATCGGGAGGTAAACCAACCAATAATAAAATTTTTACTGAATCAGATGAACGGTATTTAATAAGAAAAATTAAAGCGGATCCATTTCTTAGCGCACCAAAGCTGGCTATTATTGCTAAGAATGAACTAGTGAAAAAAGCTAGTGGAAAACCATCAGAAACATGGTCCATAATGCTAATTTACATGGTTTCTACTAGACGGAATTAAGATACAATTCCAAGACAGGCGACAGTCTGGTACACATACATCTCCATTACATTAACTGACATACAAATTATATACAGGTGTCACAGCGACACCGGTCATTAGATGTTTCTGGGGTTCTGGCCAAAATAAAAATTTGATAATTCAGATTTAAGTATTAGCAATTGCGTTCTCTTAGACTAAAATATTTTCAGATTTCTAACACTTGCGGTTATACCGGGACCACCTACTTAATTTTTTTAAATGGAACACCTGTATATTTTTACAAGTTTGGATTTGTCTGTTTTCAAGGCTTACGAATAACTGTGTTAAACTGACCAAAAAATGTAGTAGATAATGCAGCGGAAGAGGTGAATACCTTGGCTTATTCTGAGCCCAGTCCAACGCCTCAATTCGAGCTGCCAAAGAAGATCTTTGAATCATACTACAAACTTTATTAAAAGATATAGAATGAGACACCGAAAACGACTAAGTAATAAAATATGGAGGGTACCATTTAAAAAAAATGAAGTTATGGTACTTCCAAGTTTCCAAAAGTTACCGTGTCACAGTAAAGTGACCAAACGTTCTAGACAGCCGTTCTCGGCACCAAAACATATTCCATCATATTCCTTAAGCATGTTCTGAATCCTAAATTGATATCCCAAAAATCGAGTGTTATCTGATTTTTTGAACAAATGTCTGCTGGAGCAGATTTTTATAGAAAAATTCGAATAACTCGAGAACGGCTGAATCAAATTGCAAAAAGTAAAGTTATTTATATACCTTGAGAACAGACAAATCCAAATATGTAAAAATATACAGGTGTTCCATTTAAAGCGACTTCCAGTATAACCGGAAGTACTAGAAATCTGAAAATATTTTAGTCAAAGAGAACGCAATTGATAAGACTTAAGTCTGAATTTTCAAATTTTTAATTTGGCCAGAATCCGAGAAACGTCTAAAGAGTGGTCTCGCTGAGATACCTGTATACATATTAAAGTGTCGTCTGCGGTTTGCAGTGTGCCGCTTGTCACGGAATTGTACCTATAATTGTGATGTTATTTAACATACATTTAGATGTTCATAATTACATTTGTTGCGTGTTATTGCATAATAAGTTTACTGTGATGTCGAGGTAAGTAATTTATTAGTCACATTTATTTTTGTGTTGAATTCATTTAGTTTACTTCAAGCAAGATGTCTGGCAAGTAACACAACACTTATTGCAAGTTCAACATATAAAAAGGACTAATCGTAAACAAAAACGCCTGTAAATTGGACATCAGACTAATAATAAATAAATATTAAACAAAAAATATACCAGGTGTCTGGTGTTTGGGAAAAAGCCCTTATTGGCAATGTGGGCAACAGAAATATCTAGAAATTATTTTGAAGTTCCCAGAAATTCCCGCTATCTCAGAAAGTTAAATGATGAGCTACAACTTTAACATCATTTGATAGCTTGATAGCTACTGTACTCGTATCATACATTCGACGTATACTGGAAACTTTGCGATATCTTCTGGGGCATTCTGTATCCTAGCAAATTTAATGACCGCAATGAACGCAGGCGTACTTATATAGTGCACGTCAAAATTACTGAACATATACAAAACGGTAACAAAAACTATAATTTTGAAGACCAGAAGAAAGTCCAGAGGTTGGCACACGCTGCCATCACGTAGAAAGCGAAACCTTGAGATGAAATTTAAAATTTTCAATTTCTCGTAATAAAAATTCGATTATCCAATGCCGTTTCGCATTTATAACCTTATATTATGCATAAGCTTAAAGAGGACATGTTACGCTTTAATTTATATTTGTTAATTTTATAAATAAACTATTAATAAAAGTTTATGATGGGTATATATTTCTTCCGAAATATGAGTTTGTTTCTATTAAATTAATCTTTTGAGAATAATAAAAGTTTATAATGATATATCATTTTTTTGCACGGTATTAAGTCATAAAGTGAAATTAAAAGCAAATTTGTACATAAATTACTGATATTTATGGAATGGTCTTGTTTAATCGCTATCATCTGACAACTTTGCGGTTTTTTCTAATATTTTAAGGGATCACCTTACAGAAGACCATTTAAAATGGAGTGTTATTCTAAAAAAAATTTTGAGTTCAAATCACGTTTGTAAAAAGAAACTTTTGATTTGACCTAATAAGGAAGTGATATCAAATAGTGATATTTTTACATCCGTATTCTAAAAGAAATCCAGAATTAGCATTAATCAAAACTTTGTTAATATCAACGTTTTAATGGAAATTATTCAAATTATTCCTCCATATTTAGATAAATTAGATTACGTATTTGTTAAGAAAGTAATTTCAAGTTATACCCAACATAGAGAAAGTTATTCCATTTTAATAAATTAAATTTAAATTAATTTGAAATGTAAGCCTTATTATTAATTATCGGATGATTCACAAAAAATAAAATGATTTAAAGTTCCACGATATTTTACAGGTTTCCTGTTAAAATTTAAAACAAAACCTTGAATAATAACTAAAAGATTAATTTTTTATGAATATTTTATTATGTAATACTAAAAAACGGATATTGTTTGCGAGTAATTGTCCAGAACCGACATAATCAATACGTTTTTAACATTTGAACATGACACATTGTTAGTTAACCCATCTAAACCTAGAAAATAGTTGATAAATAAATCAGTTGTTTAATAAATTCTTAAAACAAATAATTCGCATAAAATAAATACTTTAGTGAGTAAAAAATGATAAAAATTTAATTTATTATCCATCACCGAATTAATTTTTTTTATTTTTTTTAGATTACAATGGTTAAACACGTAATATCAGTCTGTATATTTTGCTTCATATGTGCTACACACACTCCTTGTGCTTCACACGTCTCGGTATCTTTAAATTCATCTCCTTCAAAACTTTACATTGAAGATAATAATTTTTCACCGTACTCAACTGTTTCAAAAGAATTCGGAATGATGCAAGAAAGATATAATAATGATAGGATGGTTCGTAAAAGAGATGTTAAAATACCGGAGAATGGTAATAATGACGATGACGCAAATAAAAAGAATGTTAATAAAAATATTGAAATTGATAAATATTTAAAAGAACTTTTTATAAAGTACGGTGATGGAAAAACAATGTCATTAAAAGGATTTGAAAAATTAATGTTTGAATTAAATGTGACACAAGATTTATCATCAAAACTTGATAAGATAAATGAAGTAAAAGAAGAAGAGGGATTTAAGACTAATATTCCAGTACATAATCAATCGTCGTTTAATAATCAATCAATTAATAAAAGTAATAATAATCATAGTTGTATATTAAAAGAAGAAATTGCTGATTTTTTAAGAGTACCATTTAAATCTGTACCAAAAATTGATGACGACACGTTTAAACGTGCTTGCCCAGCATTGCTTTATAGCATTTTAATTGAAGACTGTAATCATCATCACCATCGCCATCATCATGACGACTTAACTGATGACGAAGATTTTGGAGAAAGAACTTCAACGACAACTATTTATATTTATTCAAGTTTGGCAGTTGTCGTTATAAGTTTATGTGGAATATTAGGACTCTTTGTCATCCCTATAATGCAGACAACATATTATCATAAGATATTACAGTTCCTTGTCGCTTTGGCCGTTGGAACATTGGCCGGCGACGCTCTTTTACATCTTTTACCACACGCAATGAGTTCAAGCGATCATAGTCACGGCGAAGAACACTCACACGAGCATGCCCATGAAAGGGAAAACCTTTATAAAGGATTTGTGGCAATGCTGGGGTTGGTGCTATTCTTTTGTATGGAAAGATTTATTACTATTTTGGCTAATTGGAGGAAACAAAGACAACTTAAAGATAAGGTTAGAATTTTCTTTGATATTTTTTTTAATTAATGTGAGAAAATTGTTTTTTTTTGTAGCTACCTAAAAGACTGAAGGTTATGAGTAATGAAGGGAGTGCTCAGTTGACCAATGCAGCTGATAAACAGTGCAAACACAAGTATAGTTCCTTTCCTTATTGTTATGATGAGATTACTGTGATTGATATTCCACGTGAGTATTGTTTTTAAAGACGATCAATTCATATAATCTTTTTCCAAGAATAAAAAATAATTTTTTTTGTATTTTGAGACTAATTTTGCATAACATATTGTTTATTTTTTGTTTATTTATCAGTTTCATTCAACCTTTCTAAAAATATAACTCGTTATTTTCCTCATGATTATGCATATGATATACAGGTGTTCAAAAAGTTGCCGTATTTTTTTAGCTGTTTCTACAGGCTATATCTTTCACCAACAATTCTAATAGTTCTTTTCTAATCAGTGAAAAGAATTTTTGATAAATCAGTTATCGCGAATCATTCGGCGGGAATTTTTCAATCTTTTCAGCTTTATTGTATCGTTGAGGAAGTGGAGACGATCTTGTAGCTTCGAGCTTTAGCTTCCGATACTAACATTTTCTTGATTGAACGTTTTGGGTTGCGTTAAACATAACAACGAACCTTCTGCACAATCTTCGGAGTCATGGCGGTGATTGCACGATTTCTCCAAGGATGCTTCGCAATTTCTCCAGTCTCTTTGTAACGTTTGACGACATCGTGGACAGTTTTTCTCTTGAAACCAGTCGTTCGTACGATGTCGGCAGTCTTCATTCCCGATTTGTGCAGCTTAATTACAGTGATACCAAATAATAATAAAAATAAAACAATATTTGGAGACAAAATTACATGAGGAATTCAATGAAATCAGAATAAACAAAAAATCGCAATGTCAACGTTAATTAACGTCTAAAGAAAAGTACAGGAACTTTTGAACACCTGTAATATTTGTTTTGCATTCATATCCTATATAATTTTTGGTTTGGTTGATGTCCTTGGAGTAGTATCTTTACCATTGGTGTTAATTTGTGGTTATTGTAGTAAGGTGTGTAGATTGTCATTGTTATGTTTAATGTTTACAAACACACAGGTTTAACTTTGACCCTCCTAAAAACTCAAACCACAACGACACAAACTAGTTTAGGTTGTTGATTGATTTTTAAATTACTCAATCAGAGAGAAAGCAAAAATGCTTGATCGACATTTTAACCAATACAGTTATCAATTATTACAAACATTTTAAATTTTAAAACGTATCCAACTTATTATTTTTTTTTTAATTTAGGTGAAGATCGTGGATTTCGTTTAGCTGGTGGAACAGATACAGTAATAGATTCCCACAATAACACCCAAACGACAACCTTAGACGACATAGAAAGTCATACCGACTCGAACAATTTAAAAACGCCCGCCGATTTTACAAAGAAAAAATCGCAAAATCATGAAACGAACCAAAACATGACCGAATGCCCGAACGATGTCTCGAATGGAAATTGTACGGAAATTAATAAAATGTTACCGGAAACCGGAAAAGATGACACAGATAGCATGGAATATACCGTAATATTAACCGAACACGAAAATAAGCATCATGGACACTCACACACACATGGACATGTTCATTCCGCACCGAAAAATTTATCGTCGGTTGTATGGATGGTAATTATGGGTGATGGTTTGCATAATTTTACTGATGGAATGGCAATTGGGGCAGCATTTTCAAATAGCTTATCAGGAGGTTTATCAACAACCGTTGCTGTTTTTTGCCATGAATTACCACATGAATTAGGTGATTTTGCAATGCTTTTAAAAGCTGGAATGAGTGTCAAACAAGCAGTTTTATACAATTTATTATCAAGTATTTTGTGTATACTGGGTAATTGGGTTGGATTATGGCTCGGAAATACAGAATATGCAAGTACGTGGGTTTTTGCCGCCGCCGCCGGTATGTTTTTGTATATCGCTTTGGTTGATATGTTACCGGAATTATCGTCTGATCATAACGGTGAGCACACATTTTTTCAATGCGTATTACATTTAACCGGGTTATTGTCGGGTTTTGGAATAATGGCTGTAATCGCATTGTATGAACATGACCTTAAAAATATGTTTAATAATTAATTTTAAACGTAAGGGTTTTTTTTCTGTTTGTTTTTAAAAAGAAATAATAATTAAAAAAAAAAAAAGAAATGTAATTTTAAAAAATGAGAAAAAAGTCGTGGTAGAAAGCAATTTGTTGTAATTATTTGTAATAAGTAGAGAAATATCGACATCTGATCTGCATGAGCTTAACTAATTTCTTTTTAATGGTAACGATTATTATTTTGCGATTAGCGTTAATTTATTTTTTTAACATTTTTTTTTAAATTTTCGTTCCATTGTCTCCTCATCATATGATACTTAAAAAGTGAATAAGTAACTTAAATAAATACAGTATTTTTTTTATAAAAATATTTCCGTTAACGTTGAATTTCGTTTTCATTTTTCTCCGTTTTTTTTTTACTATATAAACATAAATAATATGTTGATTTTTTTTGTATTATTTTTATATACAATTTTAAAATGTCTCGCACTATCTACTTCTGTTGCTTGTTACTTTACTGATTATCTCTCTTGAAGTACTTACTTCTAAAGTTTTGATCCTCCCCGAATTTATGTATCAGGAAATAAAGATATTTAAATAAAAACTTCTTTAACAAAAGTTATCATTGTTGTTTTCTAATTAAACCAATCTTTGATAGAAAACTCTTTGAAAAGTTAAAGATTTTGTAATTTAGTTAAACCTGAGTAAATGGGAAATCTTATACCTATAATGTAATGTAACCTTTTTAAAACCGACGACAGAGTCCTTATCCCACATAAAATGCAACATGTCAATATAATTTGACGTTACAGTAAAACTTCGATATATTATTGCTTAATAAAAATATACAACAATCTAGCTGACATTCGACACTTTCTAGTTCTAGGTCTAATGTTACTTTTAGTTTTACACTATCACTAGAACGTGAGAGCCGCCGTCTTGAGAGGCGTGCAGATAAACCCGAATGTTTCTAGTTCTAGGTCTAGTGTTAATTCTAGTTTTAATTGTTCTTCAGCGTTAGATTGTAGTATATTATTATTGAACGAAAAAAGTTTGATTTTGTACTTTTAAACTGGTTTTTATTTTATATAGAATTTAAGTCTAACCAGTTTCGGCCCTTGGCCATCTTCAGAGACTCTACAAATAGATTAACATCTCTCATCTTATCCACTTCACAAACAAGTTTCTTAATATCTCTTCATGTTTTGTTAAAAAGATTACATATCAAAGTTGAAATCAGATTATTAGTTACTAATTTACAAAATTAAAGATTAAAAAGTTGTAAAATGAAATTAAGGACGAAGTGTTTAAGAACGCCCTTTTTTACCAAAAGAAATATTAAGAAACTTGGGCAAAATTCAAGAATCGTAATGTGGTTTAAAAATCGACGATTTTTTTTAATCAATGAGAAATGACCCAAAAAACACGTTAAAAATAAAAAGATGTACGGAAAAGTAACTAACACTAAATTAACTTCAGTTATAAAACTTCTATTACATGATAACTAACTTCAGGTTTAAAATGTCAACCTCAATTTTGACATATTTGTAATCTTCATTAAAAATCCTTTAAAATGAGTACAAACACGACATATTTATCTTCAATATTAATGAAGTTATGGTCAACTTCCGGTTAAGAATGTCAACGCCAATTTTGACATATTTGTAATCGCCGTGAAAAATCCTTTAAAATGAGTCCAAACATGATACGTTTAATTCCAATATTACTCGAGATATAAACAACTTCCGGTTTGAAATGTCAATGTCATTTTGACATATTCTTAATTTTTATAAAATATCTTAATATTTGTCACAAAAACAAAAATATAATAAAAAAAAATAAAAAATTAAGGTTGTTATTAATATTTAAAAATTAAATTGCTACCTTCATTGTTGCTAACTTCGGGGTTAATGTTTTTTATTATAACTTTTTTTGTTTTTTGATATAAATGCGTCATGTTTGGACTCATTTTAAAGATTTTTTAATGAAGATAACAAATATGTCAAAATTGACGTTGACGTTTCAAACCGGAAGTGATTGTATTTTCATTAATATTAATGTTAAATATATCGAGTTTGGACTCATTTTAAAGGGTTTTTTATGAAGTTGACAAATATATCAAAATTAAAAGTTGAAAGTCCGAACTTTTTGTTTTTTTGAGATTAGTCAAGTGATGTATAACACGGTATTATCTGGTAGAGTTAGTAGTTAAAATAATGTTTACATTATATATTCTCTTTTATACATGTTCAATAATATATATTAATATTAACTCTTAACTTAGTAACATTACAATATAAATAAATATAGATTTAGATTTATTAGATTTATCTGAGGGAAATGTCCTATAAGAACGCAAGAAAATTAAATTTTTAAAACTTTTATTGAAACTTAAAACATTTAAAACATTTTACAAATAAATACTGATCGGTTAATTACTTTTTGGTATCACAAATTTGTTGATAAATATTCCTTTTTATCCAAATTTTCATTCGATTCTAATAAATTTTCTTCTGATGTAATTGTGGCTAATAGAGGAGCTCCAGATAATTGTCGATGAAACGAAGTACTCCTTTGAAATGGGACTCCATCAATATCATTTTTCCTTAATCGATAGCTGGAAAGTCTTAAAGACGAGTTTAACGAACCTTCACTACGTCTCGATAAAGGCGTACTAATTCCGGAAGTTGTGCTTATTTCAATATCCCACATATCTGGTTTAGAAGCAACTCGTATGAAATCACATATTTCTTTGGCACTACATAAAGGTGTGTCACATTCAACAATTGTGCTAAATTTATCATGATCAATCACATACTTATGACATTCTTTATTATATTCTATACAATTCACGAATCTATATCCCCAACAAATTTCTTTATTTGTATATGAAGTTTGGCTTTGTGATGGTTGTCCAGTTACGGTTGAATCACCTTCCAACACGATCATAATTTCAAATCTCGATTCATAAAGATGAGCTGGTGATAGAGTCCAAAGAGGGCTCTCTGGGGTTATTTTATGGATGATCTCTTGTGGCCACATCAACAATCCGTACTTTTCAAGTTTTAAATTTTCAAAGTAATATTGAAGTGGTTCTCCTTCCACAGAAACTTTTCGTTTTATTAAAACAGCTTTTATTACTGTTTTGGCCCAATGTTTCCCATGTGAATCTCTTACACGAAATATTAGTGATAATACTCCATCTCGAATACAAACCTAGATTTAGAAAATAAAAATTAATTTTGAAATTGATGAAAATAAGTTGCCTATTTTTAAAGTGTAAATGTTTTTACAATTTAATATAATTTTCAGGTACTTACAACAGCTTTTTTACTAAAATGTTTAATAGGATGTTTATTGTAAGGCCTGGACATTTTTACAAAAACTGCAGTAACCAAAGCTCCTTCAATAGCAACTCCTGTAATCGCTTGTAAAGTGATAATAATCCAACCGGGTTGACATTCGTTGGGATATATTGAACCATACCCAATTGTCGTTAACGTTTCAATACTTAAAAGAAGATAACTTGTGAAGGATTTTGCATTTTGTATACATGGAACTGAGTTATTTTTTGTGCTATAATAATGATCATCATTGATTTCAGCCACCAATAACCACATTGCGGCGAATGTAACATAAGCTATTCCATTTGCTATACAAAGACTTAGTAAAATCCAACGCCAGCGTGTGCTGAGCAACGTATTTCCTATATCTTGAATGTATCGGAATTCTTTGTTTGGTGTTTCTATTGATGCTACATTATTTTTTCCACATTTCTTTAAGATTCGACTTGTTGATGAAGCGTAAGGTCTTATGTGGGTTCTAAAAATTAAACGAAAACATTTATGATTTTGTTTTAAAGATTAACTTATTTATATTTGATTTACATGGAATGTTATTGCAAATTTGTTTGTGTTACTCAGTTTACTTAGAAAATAAGGTTTTAAATAGAATAAGCTTTGATAAAAACTTATCTAAACGATTTAAAAAAATTCAAAACGAATCGGTTTTTAATCACATTTCTTAATATCAATCAAAATATATTTTTTAATAAAACGCTTACCTTTTCTCACTTTTTCTTCTACTTCCTACAGAAGTAGCAGTTTGAGAACGGTTTTCATCACCTATTTCACTAACTACCTCAATCGAATCATTATTTCTACTCGCCATTTGGATCTATTTGTCTTTTCACCGAAAAGAAAATAAATATCACTTGAAACTTTTCCAACAAAAAGGAGAAAAACACTTCTAAGATAATCCACTTTTCATATTTACAAAGAAAATGTCGCAAGATAACACACACACCATAACAAAAGATTTTTTTAATTAAAAACTGTTCATTTTGAAATGATTAAAACGAAAAACCTCGAATGTATCTGGAATCTGGTATCCCTGCCTTTTCTATAAGGCGAGATAAAAAGTTATCTGTTGTGTATTTAATGGTTAATCCCGAGAAATGAGACGGAGAAATACGTCACGTGTGTATTGAAAACGATGGAAGAAAAAGATTAACGAAGATTTCAGATGGTTTTGTAAGATGAGATAATAAAAGAAAACTTCTAAACTGTATAACAAAACGAGTGTCACACAATGGGTGAAAACGTGCTCTTTATTAGTCTTTATTATCTTGTATAAGTGAAGAATTTTTTGTGTGGTCGTTAAAATTGATTTAAAAATTACTCTCATTTTTTGTTAACTTTGTCTCTTTTTTTTTAATTTTTTTGATGTAGTTTGTCACGCAATTTTTCTAAATTAGATTTTACTGATGATAATTTAATTTATAAAGACGTCAATGTGACAAAATGAATTAAATCCGTAATCATTACGGTTCTCATAAAATTTAATGGATTCGACCTAAAAATAAATGTATATTAAATTATTTTCTTATCAAATGAGATATATAGACCATTAATTTTATGATCTATTTTATTTTTTATCTCTATAAAGTAATTCTAAAAATTCTAAAATAAATTAACGTTAAAATTAATTTTATCTGATAACGCAGAATCTTAAAGAAGTGAATATTTAGAAATTTTTTCTAAATGATTTTGTCTAAAAGAAATTGGACGTCGAGTTTGAATAACTGCACAAATACATCATCACGTTTGGCCACAAGTGTCCGATCAATATTGATCATTCGATCCAGGGAGGAGAATGTAGAGGGTTATCTCGACTCCGTTCTGTTCCGGCGAGAGATCTTGACCAGCACACTCAAGAGTTTGGATTTAGGCTCATGTTAATAGTTGTCACTCAATTTGCTACTTAAGTAGTGCTTAAATCGGTTATGTTAATTGATATTTGCATCGTTAAGGCTTCCTTAATCTCCTCAAATTGATAAATTTAAAATTTTGATAAGATAAAAAATACAAATTTAATTTTTTAGTGAGTACAACATTACTATCGAGATGAAACAAAAGTGGTGATAGCATACTTTATGTTCTATCAAAGCCTCATTAATACCCAAGAAGATCATAATGATGCACAAAATTAACTTCAAGTAGTTACAAAGTACCTAAAAAAAGGCACGTTACGATATTACCATTACTATAGCTTCAATAACACATCAACAGACGGCTGATTCAATATACGTTTCAAAGCACGCACTTTTGCTGAATATCATCCATGCGTTATGCTGGACGCATGTTGAAACTTGTCTGCGTGCATTGCAGCGTTCTGTTCTGGACGGCCGATTTATATTGTGCGCCTCGAGGTTCATATTCAATATAGGAATATTTAAACGAGAAGGAGTAAATAATGAACGATGAACTTTTGATTAATGAAGTGAGAAGCGTGTTGTTTTGAAACAAAGATGAACTAAAAAAACGCATCTTCGATTGATTTTTCAATATCATGATAATGTTATACACCCTGTGTGTCAAATGTCTGGAATATAACCAATAACTTCGCCATTTGTGGTTTTAAAGAAAAATGTTTCAAATACAAGTTTCTTTATTAATCACGGCGCATTTTTTGGCGATATTTGCTTGTTTGCATTGTTTTTCGTTGCTATGACAACCAACATTGTTATTTTAAATAGGATGCATATATTATATTTGCATACTTTGATAGAGGATAAATCCTTCTATGCGATGAACAAAATATGGGTTTTTTTGAAAGTATTAAATCGGCTAGTTACAATCAAAGTAGGCGCCGAAATAACGCCGTTGACAGCTTTAAATGTCAAAAAAATTACAGTTTCAACAATTATGAATAATTAATAATGTATGGTCGTTGGTAGCTGTCTTTGGCCATCAACTTTTTGGAAGGTTTTTAACACTTCCGGTGTTAAATTTTTTTTTAAATATTTTGGATACTGTGGATTGTGTAATTTGTGTATTCGGGTAAATATTATTGAACAGTGTACAAACTTCACTTTGAGTGCGTTTTCTATCACCGTACCCATACATTATTAATATTTGGATTCTTTGTCGTTCGCTTAATCGCGCCATATTTGCTTAAACTGTCAATTTTTTGACATTTAAAGCTGTCAAAGGCGTTATTTCGACGCCTACTTTGATTGTAATTTGCTGATTTAATATTTTCAAAGAACGCATTTTTTTTGGATTTTTTTTCTTATACAACCATATGATTTGATATATTCATCGCGTAGAGGGATTTATCCCTCTACGCGATCATATGCCCATTTAAAATAACAATGTTGGTTGCCATAGCAACGAAACAAAGAACAATGTAAACAAGCAATCGTCAAAAAATGCACCACAATTAATAAAGAATTTTTTATTTGAAACATTTTTCTTTAAAACCACAAATGGCGAAGTAATTGGCTATATTCCAGACATTTGACACACCCGGAAAAAGCAAAAATCAAGAAAAAAAAGGTGTTTCAAAAATCCGCTAACCTATTTCTCTTAATCTTCTATCGATATTATCAAACATTTGCCGATTTGGAGCTCTTCGTGCAGGAAACATTTCCCCGTATCGGCCCTTCTCGTCACGGCGACTGACAAGATCTATTCTAACTTAAGCCCTCCAAAAGTTTAGGGTCAACTGTAGGTCCTTGATGAACCTGAGTATTGCCATAGAATAACCAGAAGTGATACTGGCGGTATCTCGCCAAATCTGACGCTATATTGTTGCGAAGAAGCAAGGTATTGCTGCTATTGGTGATAAATTAAATTGTCTCCCTCATTGATTGTGCATTCATCGTGCGCCTATGGTTCCTCGCGATAAGATGGCGGATTTTAAATCGAGATCATAAAGCGAGATGCCGCCAACATCAAACGAATCGACGTCAGTGTCATTTCTGGTTATTCTGTGGTATTGCTCTAAGGTCTTTGTGTCTTAGGCGATGCATTCAAACAGTATATGTTCAGCAGTCTCTGACTCGTCGTTGTAAAGTAGACAAGTTTGATCCTCAATGTGGAAGAGATGGTATTTTAGGGGCGCATGACGTGTCAGGAAGGCTAAGAGCGACCTTAAATCCCCTTTGCTGAGGCATAAAACCTCTTTGGTTTTATTTTGCGACGGAGTTATCATACTCTTGTCTGTAACCTGGAACTTCTTTCCAGCGTAGGGATCTCCAACTTACATTTTATCGGTTCTTTGGATGTTACTAGGTATTTGGTATTCTTGGTGTTGATGACCATATTTAATTCTTTTGCTTTAGTGTTAAAAGGTTCTCCTCAGAATCTGCAATAAGGACGACACCGTCAGTATAGCAGACGGGATGGAAGAATGTTTCTCATTTTTAACACATTTTAACACATATACAGCGTGTCCCGTATCTTCCGCATCAGAGCATTATACGGTTGTAGAATACATTATTCTGAAGCGATCTTTCTAATAAAATTTTTTCGAAATGTTTATAATAACCGCACGGGAACTGTTTAACGACGACCAATAACGGACGACTTTGATTCATCGAAAAAGTTTATTTCTCTTTCCATGACGAATCTATTGGTGAGTACACGTGGGAAACGAGTTATCATCGGCGTAGCGAACCGGCCGAGGGTGGCACCGATTACCTGAGTCTGATTTGCGATCTGCTGATTGGACGAAAAACAGTTCCTTTAAACAGTTCCCGTGCGGTTATTATAAACATTTCGAAAAAATTTTATTAGAAAGATCGCTTCAGAATAATGTATCCTACAACCGTATAATGCTCTGATGCGGAAGATACGGGACACGCTGTATATCATTTGTTGTCAAATACCTTACTCTGATTTTGTTTTACACTGGGTATTAATCTCGTATATTAAGTTAATTAGGTTATTTTACTAACATTTACTATTAACATTATTATTTTCATATGTTCAATAATTTTATTTTCTTAAACAAACTATAGATAACTAACAATTATTTTTTTATGTTTTTGGAAATACAGATAAATTACTATTTACACTACAACAAGAATTCCTATCTAAATATTCTTCCATGCTTGTTAACATCGTATCTAAATCTATAGCCTGTTCAAATTCGAATTCACTTTTCGGGTAATCATTAGACATTAATGATTGGTGAGGTATCTCGTAAACAGAATCGTCTTCAAAAATTCGATTCCCACTTTTAATATTATTAAATTTCCTAGCGCTGAAATGATCCATATACGAGTTATGATTTTTAGAAACACCTGAAAAATTAGAACTATTCGGGTAATCGCTGAAATTAGTGATTGCAGGCATCGACTTCGATTCCATCATCCACGAATCGTCCATGTTTGAAATAATCGGAGTTTCGTGGAAATAATTTAAATCGTCAAAAATTTCTTCGTTTTCTTTAACGTCGGGATCTTCGCAATCTTTTGATTTCTCTTCTTTATTGTTTTCTTTGGAATTTTCTGATTCAATGGACATTATTGTGCCTCTCCTTTTTGTGCCGTCGTAAGTTACATTAATTTTTAAGTTATAATTTCTTGAAACTGATGGTGTTGGAGTCATCGATCGATAAACTTCGTAAAATTTCTTAGCGCTACACAGATGCGTCGCATTCTCGACGGTTTTATTAAAATTTTTTCTTTGGATATCGTACATCGCTTCCGATTTATTATATTTGATACAATTTTTAAATTTATAACCCCATAAAATTTCGGAACTAATATAAGAAGTTCTTGTTTTTGAACATTGTCCGGTTGTCGCCGAACTTCCTTGAATTGTTACTATAATTTCAAATCTGGAAAAATAAATTAAATTGGGTTAAACGTTATTTAATTAAAAAATGTAATACGCGATATTGTTTTAATTGCAAATGTTGGGTTGGATTTTGTATCTTTTTTTAATGCAAATTGAAATGTATTCATCGGTGTATTTGTGAATTTTGTCGTTGCAAATACACAACATGTGCCTTTAAAATGTAAACGAGATGTGCTATAAAAAATATTTTATGCTGCTCTGTACTCTTTTATGTATACAAAATTATCTTTATGACCGAAGCGAAATACAACCAAAAAAAGAAGGAAAAATTGCTCTTTTAGCTTTAAGCTATGAACGCTAATAAAGTTTTATGTGGTTAGTTTGAAATTTTGTATCAGATGTTTTTAATACAAAATATTTGTATTAATTTGCTTGTTATTTCATTCTCTTGTGATGTCGATAAATTATTTAAATAAAAAATTAAAGCATGATAATATTAACAACTTTGGTTTACTTACTTATCTGATATTAAATTGTAGGAAGAAATATCCCAAAGTGGACTTTTCGATGTAATTCGATGAACAACTTCTAATGGCCAAATTAAAAATCCGTAAGGTTCCAAATTTAAAACTTCCAAATAAGGTTCTCCCGTTTCACCATCTTTTTTTAAAATATACGCTGTTATAGAAGTCGAAATAGCGTGCCTACATTCTTCATCGTGGACTCTAAATATCAAACAAAGGTGGCCATCACGTCTGCAAACCTTACAAAAAAATGTTTTTTTAAATAATTTTATTTTAGAAATTTCCACTAACTTACAATCGCGTGTTTACTAAAGACGTTGTGACGAAATCTCGACGAAGGTTTCACAATTTTCATATAAACGACGTTTACGGTGACGCCACAAACGAAAATTCCAATTATTAATTGGATACAAAGAACAAAAGCGCCTTCCAAGCAATGATCGGTTATTGATCTTGTTCCATATCCAATACTAACTTGTGATTCTAAACTAAATAAAAAATAACCAGCAAAACTTTGAACGCCCGTTATGCAAGGATTTATTGGATTCGCTTCTAAATCGCCGTTTGAAGTTGAAATTAACATCCAAACGACGCCGAACGTTAACCAACAAAGAATAAAAACTGATGATGCTGCTAAAATTATTTTCCACCATTTTCCTGAGACTAAAGTATTGAAAAAATCTCTAAGATATTTTTCGGTTAAACTAGATTCGGTTTTTCTTAATACATTATATTTTCCAGTTTTTTTAATCAGTCTTCTTCCAACAGGAGATTTTCTAAAAAAAAAAAAATAAAAAACAAAATTAATTAAAATTAACTTTAAAATGTTATGTTTCGAACATTGGAAATGAAAAAACGGTTTCAATATCTTTTTGCTCCATTCTCCAATAAAATAAAATTAAATCTTGAACACACAAAAGCGAAATTAGCCACCTTTAGAACAGTAAGTTCAAAAGAGCACTGTAGTAACTATCTTATCTCGTTCACAGTAAATTTTCTTTAATCGTAACGTTTTTGCTACTGCTGCTGTTGTGTTTCTCGTGCTCACCAGATTGTTGTTTACTCACTTTACTCCGTTCTGGTGCTAGTAAATCTCTAAACTGTTTGCATTTGGTTGTCCTCATTGTGTTATTCTATCATTGTATTGTACGCACTTCAATTCTAATAAGTGCCTAAGGGGCATTTAAAACGTTTATCTTTTTAACCGATTAATTATATTTTTATCACTTTTTTAGACAACGTCGTTCACCTTGACATTTATTCATTATTTTAATCATTTTTTAACAAAAAAGGAGCGGATTGAAGTGGATGTATCAGTTGTGATTTGAACAAACTGGTTAAAAATTCTAATAAAGTTTTTTTATGCAATCATAAATTATTTATGAAATGTTATGAAATATAACGTAGAACTGTATTAAAAAGGAAATGAGAAAAGATGTTGATTACATAATAAAATTTAAATAAATTTATGTAAAGATATAACAATACTGTAGTAAATGTTGTATACAAAAATTATCTTTTTTAATTGTAATTTTATTAGTGATATGCAAGTTTGCAGCTATCATTTTCTTGGAGTTTTTGTTTTCTTGCTTATTGTTTTAAAGTGTAACAGAGTATTGATTTCAGTTATTTGGTTACTGGGTACATAATACATTTATTTAATTTGAACTTGAGACAATGAAGTCGATTGAACCATATATTTAAGATTTTTTAAATATCGTACAGATATTCTACCGTAATGTTTTCTTAGAAGATAATGAATACAAGAAAATAATTAGAAATGTCAATAAAAATAACTGTTCATAGTACTTTATCTATAAAGTTAAAACCTAATACAGAAGAATGGCAAAATCCAAATGGCAAAAATCCGATCGGGTAGTTTACAAAATTTATGTGAAGAAGTGGATATTTTGAGTAGATCCGAGATGAATGAAAGTCTTTTCCTCAGCGATTATTATTGGCGTTGGGGTGTCCTCAGATTCATCTTCTGCAACTTTTCCTCTCCCCAGTAACACCCTCGAGATGCTGCATAGTCTTTTTTTGACTGGCCATAATCTGTGTCACTGTCTCTTCCTCTGTTGTTCTCGGTCTTCTCTGGATCGCCTGCCCTGCGCTAAAACCACCATCTATATCCGTGGTTTCTTCAACTCTCCATTCGTCTAATGTGGCTAAATCAAGATATGTAGATAAAGCATATTGACCTCTTCTCGAATAGCTATTCCGTACTCTGTCCCGTCACGTCTTTCGTGGAACCCTCTGGAGATATTTCATTTGGACAGCATCAACCCTACTGATGTACCTTCTATTTGCGCTCCAAATTTCACTGCCATAAGTAAATATAGGTTCAATAACCGCTTTAAAAACCCTTGTCTTGGCCATGCCGCTTACTTCACCCTTTCCAAACACACCGACTTATGTCCACTTTATTCCTAACCTCTTCAGTAAGCTTTCCCGTTTGCTGGATTTTCGTGCCCAGATATTGATACTTAATAGTTATGTGGATGTTATGTACAGCTCTGTTCAGATTTAATGCGAATCGTCCGCTGTTAGCTCCGACATGACCCTGGTACTAGAAGAAGACGGAGACATCTTTTGTTTCTATTCAATTCGATTTCTGAGACTAAAGGAAGTTACCCTCTTCCTTAACCCAGGTAAAACCGTCCCAGTTTAATGTGGGCCGAAGAATGGATCACCCTTTTTTTAAATGTGTTGATTTTATTTTATTTTAAATCTTTTTTGATATTTTTAAGAACAACAAATACACGATTTCTTATATGTTCATCTAATAAATGATTTTAGAGTATTTCTATAAATAAAACGTCAGATAAAAATCTCAGTAATATAATTAATATAATATAAAACTTATAAATAAAGCTTTATGAAACTCTCCTTCAAATTTTAAATATAATTATTCAATATCAAAATTACGTGCATTCAAATTTGTCCGTTTTCTTAAATACAATGCCTTGCATTCCTGGTCAACGAGAGTCAGGTTTGACTACGAGGCGAGCAATTATTACACTTCATCAAGAAGGAATAGATAAACGGGAAATTGCCGAACGTGTAGGCTTATCAGTAAGATTTGAAGAAAATGGGAAAGTTGGCCTTATAACATCTAGATCAGGCCTAAGACTTATTCTTAATAATGCTCAACGAAGGGGAATTGCTGAATACGTCACCGCCAATCCATTTACAACGTCCACAATTATCAAGGATTTAATTCGATATATTTTTGATATCATCAGTAAAAACCTTGTATCCAGAAGGGATCATCACGATTGTCCAAGACAATTCACCCGTGCATTCTTCAAGAATTGTTCATGATTGGTTTGACGATCATAATGAGGTTAGGCGAATACCCTGGCCAGCGCGGTCAACTGATCTTAACCCAATCGAAAATCTACTGGCTTTGATGGAAAAACAGTTCAATAAATATGCCAACTTTCCGATTCGCAACGTAAAATCCGTAATTATTTTCATTTACTACAGAAATTGCGTAAAGTAAATGGATTGCTTATACTTATTTATTTTCTTAATTTTTCTTTGTGATTCAGTCATCTTGGTCATAAATCACATCACTCCGCTAGCCTGTTCGGAACTTTTACAACACTACAGAGCAGGTAAAACCTGGATTGAATGCCTCGTGAACGTAGGTCGTTTCTAGTACAATTTTATGCCTCTACGAGCGGCTCTTTTCGCATTATATCTGAACAGAACTGTACCTGTTCCTCTGTCCTCGTCACCACCATAACTTGACTCATCACCTTGGTCAACATCATTCCCCTCTCCTTGTGAAAATGTACTAAAAATATATTTGTCTTGTGGAAAAGCCCACATCGATATTGATCATTATCGAATCTGATGTTGCGGGATGGTTAGATGTGGGCAAAAATGATGTGGGCTAAAAGATTCTCGAGGACAATAGTGTTGTTACCTCAGTCAACCTCAGTTGAAGTATCTGGAGATCAACCTCGATAGTGAAGGTGAAGAGGATTTTGTGCATACACACTTATGACGCGGATTTTGTCGTCGTGATTTGTTATTGTGTGTTATAATATTCTGTTGCTGACGTATTACTCACTTTCTATTTGTTTTTTGTATTTATTATCTATGATAAAATCTATTCCTAAATGTTCTCTTTTCTCTCTCTTGAGACTCAATTCATACAAAGATATATCCGTCGATTTCCGTCTTTTCTGTAACTTTCTCTTTTCTCTCACTAATAAAACATATTTCAATGTTTTTGCTCTTGAAATCATAATTATTATTAATTATTAGTTATTTCCTCATCTTTTCTTGTTCCGTACTTGTTCCAGGAAACGATTCTAAGTTTGTTCTTCTTCCATTTTGGAAGCCTTTTTCTCATCGAGGTCGTCAACTTTAAATCCGTCTGGTTCCGAAGCATATTTTTCGTCCTGTGAGCTAATATACTTTTTTTTCTTAGGTTGGTCTCGTCCCTCTGAGTTAATAATTTGTTGTCATTTGTTACTGCAAGAAGTTACAAAACACCTCATAATCCAGTGGGTTAAACATAATTCTGGTTGCTTGGAAAACAAGCACGATGATCGGATGGCCAAATGACCATCGATAGAGGTTCTCGTGCATCTGAATCGATAATTACTATTTGTTTAGCCACTCTTAAAAAGTGCTTAACTTGGTTGCTTGTGGTAAATAAGAAGGTATAAGGTAAATAAGCACCTTTATTCGACGTCAAAATGAGTGTCATATGAGATCAGGAATCCTTGGAAAATCCTTAGGCAGCATGATATGACCAAAATTAGTGTGGGGAGTAAACCTTTAAACTCCCTCATACAACAAACTTTGCAGGCATTAATTTTCAAAGTTCTTTTTGAATTTTAATAATAACTTTTAGCATCATAACTAAAATGATCGATGAGCTTTATTCGATAATACTAATTTTTTGGAGTATAACTGGAATAATTCAAACAATCCATAACAACAAAAATTTTTTTTAAAGTTATCTAAATAACCGTTTTTTTAATTTTCTTTTTTTCTCATACTGTTTAGGAGAAACTCAAACCTAGAGATAACGTTAAAAGTATTTTTACGTTTATTATAAAGTCTGTTTAAGGTGACACATCTTATTCTAATGATATTGTAATGTTTTCAAATCCTTTCTTAAACATCGTTCATAAAAAAATATAAATACAATAAAAAGATTTCAAACATCATTAAATTTTTCTTAAAAAAATCGAATTAAACTAAAATTGCGATTATAATTGTTAAACCCATGGATTATTTTTAATCTTGATTATAGGAAATCGACATTTAAAAAAAAATTTACGTTACCTTCCATCAGAATTAAATCCTTCAATAATATGAGGTCCTTGTTGATTATATTTTCTAATACTCCCTATGTAATCATCATTGTCAGTTTGAGGAAGCGTCGTCCTCACACTAAATTTTTTATGATCATCGATTTCTTGACATTGAACGACAACACTATCACCACCAACTTGTTGAACTCCAACCATTTTCTTTAATAAATTTGTGGTAACATCTCTTTTAAGGCATCTTTTCAAAAATCAATTTGTAACACTTTAAGAATTCTTTTTAAAAACTTTTTTAACACATATTTGTAGAAAAAAAACACTTCTTATTTACTCGCTAATTTAATTTTTATTTAAATTTTTACACTATCGCTCACTTAAACATTTAGAACTCATGATTAATCGTTTTAAAAAAATTTCAAGAAATAATTTGCGCGTACAGCATTCTAGTGAAATTAACTCGATACGAGAAACGAACGACGTTTATCAGTTAAATATGGCCTTCCAGTTAAGATAACGGGTGAGATTCGTGTTTAAAAATCGACAAGATCTGTAGTTCTAGTCTTAAATAAACAAGCAGCGGGAATTAAAGTGGATTAAAGCGATGGGAGTTGTAGACATAAAATGTGATATTATTGGGTTCGTTTTATTTTGTTTTAGTTTTTTTTGCGCGTGTTGATAACAATATTTATCAAGGAAAATTTTGAAAACCAATACCTTCCATAACTAATGTAATATTTAAAATGTTTATTATCAAATAACTTTTTTTCTAATGTTTGTTTAACATTAACACTTAAATATAAATTTACATATTACCGCGAAGTTAATCTATAAGAAAAGAAAATAATCCTTGAAACTATTTATTTTACTTGTCTTTACTTGTTTTTGCATCGAATTCGGGTAAATTTCACGAAATTTTGCAGCCTTGGAGATGAAGAAAACATATGGAACTACAATGAAGCATCATATATTGTAGAATGGTGTGTCATATAACGCCTCGGCCGCAAGCGACCTTGACTTAATGACTTATTTTGTGTAAAGAACATAAAATAAACATGCAACCACCATGTATTATATTCATATTAGAATATTGTCAGATTAAATTCCCTTAAATTCTGAGTTCTCTTTGTATACGTTTATTTTTTTCTCTTTTTTGTATAGTGTGGGATTTTTCCCAAAACACAAAGACTATTGACTTGGTAGTAAAATCATATATCATCGAGAAACATCACGGCCCAGCTAAAGCGAGGGATGGTGGCGGCGATGAAAAGAATCGTGATCAGAGAAAAAAGGGACTGCGGAGGCCTCCCAATAACCAAATGCTAGGCGGAAGGGGCGTCCCGAATAATAAGTCACCGTAAATCAGTGGCGTCGGGACGCCGTCCGTACTGGTAGGCGCCGGTCAAAAACCGCTCTCCGTCGTTCCGTCGATTTATGGAGTTCGGTAATTAATATCCCATCAGGAGATAACCGACGGGAAATTTACGGTTTTCCAGCGGATATCCGGAAAATCCTCATCCTTTTATCAATATCGCCAAAACTTGCTCGATGAGTTTTTAACTTTCCTATAATAAACAAAATCAAATAAAAATTATTCGTGAAATGATATTTTTTGATTTGGAATTTGTTTTAAAGAGCAGAAGTTTTAAAGCAATCTTTTTGCTTTTATTAACACATCTATTATAGATTATTTAATTAGTTTACATCTAGACCAATAGCGTTGTTTTCCGCACCACTGAGTTGATTTAACCTGCTACTCTTTATGAGTTCAGTCGTGTTTATCTTGTTTGAACCGGCTCGTTTATGACAATATTAAAAAACGATTACGGTAATACCTCGCATAGTCCGGTTAATCGGTTTCACCATTTTACTGGACTGTTTGAAACTGGACTAATTGTAAGCCAGGTATTAAATGTATGTATATAAAAAATTGCCGATTGATTCATTGAAATTCTTCCTTCAGTTAATAAATTAAAATGTCTATTAACAATAATTATGTTGTATAAAGTTTCATTTTTAATTTGAATTCATTTTCTACAATTTTCTATATCGATGTATTACAAATTGCAACAACGAACTGTATTGTTCTTTAAATTGTACACTCGATATTGGGATCAACTTCCATAAAATGTTCTGACATGATTTCAACCATTCAATAATTTTTGTGAGAACTTCATCACAGTCCTCGTTGTCCAAATGGTCCTCTTGTTCTTCATAAACTCGTTGATCATCTATGTTAATAAGTTGCATTATCTAATTCATTAGTTTTCCATTCAATGCACTCAATTACGTTATCTAACTTTTGATAACGAGGTTGCTCCATTTTTATCATCCTGTGTTGATCTTTCCTTCTCTTTCATTTTCCTTTTCAGCAGACCAGAAAAAGCAAACTTGAACAGAATATAACAGCTTATGGATGGATTTGTTTCCTAAGAACACGATCATTTGCTTATTTGTGCTCATTCGTTATTCCAACGTCATAAATTAATTGCTTCAACCCAAGCAATCAAAGCTACTGGAAACAAACTGGGTGACACCAGGCATGGCTAGTCCAGATAGATGCGAATTTTGTAAAGCGCCAGCCTCAAAAAACGTGATTATGCAATGTCTGAATAAAAATAAAAAAAGAATGAATTGTGTGAACATTCGAGAGTGAATCATTAAAGTTTTCACTTTTGAGGAAACTCCCTCTAATTGCATTATTGAATGTTATTACGAGAACTATAAAGGCAGAGCACTTAGAATGATGTTACGCGCTATGTTACCATAATACGCAATTACTTTTCTTCATTTTAGCGACTTGGCAGTAGTTGTTTCCGAAAAGGTGATACCACGAAGAGTTAAAAAATATTAATAAAAAGTTCAGATTGATTTCACGATAACTTCTTTAAATGTCACCCGATCAATCATCTTTTATACTCTGCTGAAATAGTTGGATCGCTCCAGGGCAGGCTGTAAATTGGCTTGAAAATTGAATTTATCCCATGATCTATCGACTCAAATAATAAAAAAGTAAAAGAAAACGTTCTTTGGTAAAAATACAATTTGTAAATTTTCGTGCTGTAAACCTTCAACAGTTATGAAACCACTAATTAAAACATTTAATCACTTGGTGTTTCGACAATTTCATTCGGATAGAATAAGCTGTGGGTCATTTTTTGTTGCAATCTACAAAATATCCAACCATAACAATATAGCAAGAAGCACATGTACAGGGTGTCCCAAATTCGTTGTCCACATAGGCTATCTTCAAAACTAAAAGATATAGAAAAAAAGGAGCTTACATGTCATGATCTCGTTTTTCGAAAAACTGCTAATGCCGAAAAATTCGAACAGTTATCGTCTTTTGTCGTTGTGAAATTATGAAAAATTAAGCTTACCGAACATTCTTACCCAACAATCTTACCAATATTTTTTCCGGGACGATGGTTCAGACCGAAACAAAACTGACTTATATACAGGGTGATTCACATAAGAACCGACACAGAACAGGGACATGTAGAGGACAATAAATTAAGACGATTTAACACAACTTATCTCTATACTAAGTTGTACTCCTGAGGAGTTATAGGCCTTCAAAGTTGGGTCTTAAATTTTTAAAACATTGAATATCTTCGTAATACATTAAGTTAGAAAAACCAAATTTGGTATACGTTATGAGTGTACCGAGGGTATTAATTGGTAGCAAGTTGAGACCAATTGAGGCATTTGAAAGGGTTGATTACGGGTGATGGTCCCCTAAATTTTGACAGATTTTTTTAACCTTTTGGTGGATTTAACACATTATTACCTCATTTCATGTGGAATTTAATTCTAAAAC